GTAGCTTACATATCAAACAACGGATCCTGCAATTTGATTGTCCATGCAAGTTTCGGCCAACTCCTCGTTTCCCATGATACAAATGGGTTGGGTACGTCACATGGTATTTTGTTGTGGTTTCAAATTGTATGTCCCCATGCGGGCGCCCAGGCAACGAGTGACACAAGTGGCTTTGTCTCACGGTTTTCGGGGTGACACGTGTCACTTTGATGTTTGTTCAATGTATGACCCCTTGTTGGCGTCCAGATTATGAGTGACTTAATTGTTTTTTCTCACACGGTGTTCGAGGTGATACGTGTTACCCTTGGCTGCTGTGGTTTCACACCGTTTGGCCCCGGGTTGGCATCCATACGATTGGACAGTTGGTGTTTTCGCACACGGTTTTCAGGGTGACATGTGCCACCCTTGTGTGGTTTCACAATGTATGGCCCCACGTTGGCGTCCAGAATACGAGTGAAGCAATTGGTTTTTCGCGCACGGTTTTCAGGGGGACACTTGTCACCCGTATGTTGTTTCACATAGTTTTGTCCCCCGTTGGCGTCCAGAATTTGAGCGGGATAGTTAGTTTTTCGTACACGGTTTTCGGGGTGACACGTGTCACCTTTGCGTTGTCTTGCAATGCATGGCCCCATGCTGGCGTTTAGATTATGAGTGAGACAGGTGGTTTTCCTCACACGGTTTTCGGGATGACACGTGCCACTTTGTGTGGTTTCACATTGTATGGCCCCATGTTGACGTTCAGGTTAAGCCATTGGTTTTTCTCACGCGGTGTCCGGGGTGACAAGTGTCACACGTGTGTTGGTTCACATTTTATGGCCCCGTTTTGGCGCCCAGAATACGAGTGAAATAATTATGGTTTCCTCACACGGTTTTCGGGATGGTGCGAGTCACCCTTGCTTTGTCGATGTATGGCCCCATGCTGGCGCCGAGCATACGAGTGGAGCAATTGTTTTTCTCACGCGGTGTTCGGGCTTACACGTGTCACCGTTGTGTTGTTTCACATTGTATGGTTCCATGTTGGCGTCCAGAGTACGAGTGAACAATTGGCGCTTTCTCACCCAGTTTTCTGGGTGACACATGTCAACCTTGTGCGGTTTCACATTGTATGGCCCCATGTTGGCGCCCAGAATCAGAACACGAGTGGAACAACTGTTTTTTTCTCACAGTCTTCGGGGTGACACGTGTCATTGATGTGTTCGTTCGCAATGTATGCCCCCATGTTGGCGTCCACAATAAGGGTTTTCTCACACCGTTCTCTTGGTGACACGTGTCACCCCTGTGTTGTTCTACAAAGCATATCCCCATGTTGGAGTCCAGAATATGAGTGAGACTTTTGGTTTTTCTCACACAGTTTTCGGGGTGACGCGTGTCACCGTTTTTTTGTTTCACACGTTATGGCCTCATGTCTGCCCCCCGAATGCGAGCGATATCCGTAAGGGCTTCGCCCCCTGCCGCCGGCCCCCTCTCTCGGAGAATGGGCCATGGAAGTGCGAAGTCATGAGGCTTTGGCTTCACCGTGAAGCAGCGTCAGAACTTCATGCGAAGACGATGGGTAATTGGCAAGACGAATGGAGATTGCGAGTCTATTATTTTACTCGCTGTTGTATTTTCCATTTGCTCCTGTATGCTGTGCCCAAATCTTCTCCCCGAATTTGAAAATGTTGGAAGTCTCTTGTGTCCTGACCGCGAAGAAGTGCGTGAGGGGTGCCCCAGAGTTTCAGATATGTGGCAACTCCCGAGTGCTTTGGACCTTAACACCGCCGATCTGTGTGAGGGGTGCCACCGAATTTCGGAAATGTGGCAAATCCCATGTGTTTCTGGACCCTGACCCCGCCGATCTGGGTGAGGGGTGCCACCGAACTTGAGAAATGTAGCAAATCCCAAGTGTTTTTGGACCCTGGCCCCGCCGATCTCCGTGAGGGGTGCCACCGAACCTCAGAAATGTAGCAAATCTTTTATGTTTTTGGACCCTGACCCCGCCGATCTGCGTGAGGGGTGCCACCGAATGTCAGAAATGTAACACATCTTTCGTGTTTTTGGACCCTGACCCCGCCGATCTGCGTGAGGGGTGCAATAGAATTTTACAACATGTGGCAAATCCTGTATGTTCTTGGACCCTGACCCTGTCGATCTGCGTGAGGGGTGCCACCGAATGTCAGAAATGTTGCAAATCTTTTGTGTTTTCGGACCCTGACCCCGCCGACCTGCGTGAGGGGTGCCATCGAATTTCAGAAATGTGGCAAATCCCATGTGTTTTTGGTCCCTGACCCCGCCGATCTGCGTGAGGGGTGCCACCGAATGTCAGAAATGTTGCAAATCCAATGTGTTTCTGGACCCTGACCCCGCCGATCTGAGTGAGGGGTGCCACCGAATTTCGGAAATGTGGCAAATCCCATGTGTCTTTGGTCCCTGACTCCGCCGATTCTGCGTGAGGGGTGCCACCGGATGTCAGAAATGTAGCATATCCTATTTGTTTTTGGACCCTGACCCGGCCGATCTGCGTGAGGTGTGCCAGCAAATTTCAGAAATGTGGCAAATCCCATGTATTTTTGGACCCTGACCCCGCCGATCTGAGTAAGGGGTGTCAATTTTTACCCACCCCAGCAATTCAGAGCACACGCCCAGGGCATGCTAAACCTACCCGTTTGGGCCTCCCCCCCCTCGCGCGGTCCATCAACAAGGAACAGTAAGCAGCAAGAAGCAGAAATGTAACAGTGGAAACTGGAAGCTGCAACTGGTACAGGAAACTGCGAACCTTCGGCCTACAGCCTGGTGACCACACAAGGGGGCCGGCGGATGACGGGAAGCGCGAACGAGGAACGAGGAGCGTGGAGCATCCGGCGAAGGAGGAGGGGGAGGGGGATGAGGGAGGGGGATCCAGAAAACGTTTTGGGGAGGAAGAGAAACAGGAGGTCGGAGTCAGCCATGAAGGCTTTCGCGGTGCGTTTGCTCTCAGAGCCTTTTGGGGTCATTATGGGAATTGTCGGAGCCCTCTTGGGGCCATCTTGGAGCCATCTTGAGAAGCATCGATGGAAAATGGGGGCATCCCTAATCAGGCTCGCCCTGGTAGAACCCCCACAATATATTTCTTGTTGGGGCGCCCTTGGGGCAGTATTGGAGCCCTCTTGAGCGATCTTGGAGCCATACACCATCAGGAACGGGAACGAAACGGCGAGAATGCAACCTGCATGGATGTTCACGTAGTGTTTGAAGTGTGTGGGGGGGCGGAGGGGCATCTTTGGGAGGCCCCGTATCCACTTGGAGTCGTCTTAGATTGGCTTTTGGGCATCTTCAATACATATGCGACGTCATCTTGAACCATCTGGCGATGTCTGAAATCATTTGGGTTATCTGGGGTGCCGCACGCCGTTTCGATCATTCCGATGGGTTCTCCCGACACACTAGTAGCACCCGAGTCTCAGCATATTGAGCGGTCGTTATTGGATGGACCTCCACAGGGGACCAATCCAGACGCCAGATGTGCGACGCTGGCAAAGTGCGCCACGCGCACCAGGTGCGCCAAGCGCATCAGGAGCCCAAGCTTACCAGATGCGCTGGTGCACCAGATGTGCCACGTGCTCCACATGCGCCAAGTGTGCCACGTGCTGAACCCGCGGCAGGTGCACCAGTGTCCATGACATCACTCATCGGGAGACATGTCTGCACCCCCCCCACCGGACAGTCCCTGTCAAACGAACAATCCCAAATGGCGTGTGCTACGTGCACCCGTTGTTCTTGTGCTTATGTGCGTGCACGCGGCTCCTAACAACAATAATGTCGGCAGGGATGGTGTGCCCTCACACACCAGACTAGATGAGGGCCCCCCACCATCCCTGACAAAGAACAATACAAGTATACGCGGGACGTCCGCGCATGGTCAAAGATTTGACGACACAGCGTATGTTTCATTGCGTTGCGCCATGGATGGCGTGGGGGGGGGCATTGTCCCGGGATTGTCGCTGGTCGGGTGAGGGAAGGGGTGTTTATGATTACGGAGCAGAGATCAGGTTTCGCCGAAGGATGGCCAAAAGCCGTCTCGCTCACTCCCACCCGTCCTCAACAACATAAGTAGCACCCGAGTCTCAGTGCCAGGAGCGCCAGCATCTGTGACCGCACACATCGGGAAACATGGCGGCCGCCCCCCCCCCACCATCCTAGTTAGAAATTTAAAAACGAAATGGCGGTTGGGTGGGAGGTCAGCATGCCGTACTCGCTGTGCACCTGCAATCACTTTGCATGGTTTGTTGACAGGGACCGTGGGCCCGCACACAATGGACAATAGGTTAGCACCCCCACCATCCCTTTCAAACAATAATGTGGGTTGATCACGGCGCCCCCGCGCATTGTTCAAGATCTTGTCGCAAACAATGTGTTGTGTTGCGTTTGTTGACAGGCGTTGTGGGCTTGCACACACTAGGCAGCATGCTGCGCCCTCCCCGCCGTGCTTGTCACAAAACATGTGCAGCGATCAAGGGGCTCCCGCGCATCGTCCAAGATTTTGTCGAGCGCGTATGTTGCATTGTTTTGTGAAAGAGGTGGTGCTGGGGAGGGGAGTCGGCACGGGGCTCTGGTCGACCGCCAGTCGAGTGGGGCATGGGGTGTTTCTTAGTAGGGAACAGTGGTAATCCCCTCCCCGAAGGGGAGGGAAGGAAAGGAAACTCTCGAAGCTGCAGGGTTCCCATAGGTCCGTCCATGGACGTTCACCTGTCGCTCCTCGTGCATCTGGGGCGCAGTGGGGGCCCAGAAAGGGTTCGTTCCCGATCCCCGCTCCTTGTGGCAAAACTTTGCTGCGGTCAGGTCCACGGCTTGCCAAAGACCTGCAGTGGGACTTCAGAACATCGGATTTGGATGCGCATTGGCGGTGTGTATTGGTACATGGGGGAGCACGGCGAACGCAAAATGGTTTCCCCGCAGTCGCGCAGCGGTTTGGATGACTTGGCGTCTACGTTGACACGCCCTCAAACGCATACTCGCGCCGGAAACCAGTAGAAAAGGAAGGACACATTCACAATAATGTGTCAGATGCTGATTTACTGTGAGCAAGGAAGAGAAACTAGGCGGAGGTCCGTGATTAGCCGTTCGGGCTCACATCTGTTTGGCTTAAGGTTGTTTCAAATCTGTGTTATTTACTGCTCGCGCGCCGTCTGGCGCAAGGCCTATTTACAGTGCTGTATTTCACACGGGTCTGGACATAGACTGGCCAGATGCCCTCGCGGACAACGCTGGCCCGGGATCGGCGCCGCGGGAGCACGAGAGCCAAAGGAAGCAAGTCCCGCTTGCAGATAGCGCAGGCCGTGCTGGGGTGCAGGACGGACACGCCGAGCGCGGTGAGCACGACGGCCACGTTTGGGACGCCACGGCACGCCGTGTCCGACTCCCTCGATTCCGGCTTCGCTCGCTCGGGCGGGGGCCGGGGACAGGCCTTGGGCGGCTTGATGAGCCCGCCCTGGCGCGGCCTGGTCGTCGCGGTGTCGCGCAGCCTCGCGCAGCGCTGCTCCGAGGCCGCGCTCGACTGCGAGGGCCGCCGCTCTCGGGAGGCGGTGGAGTGGGTGCATGCCGACTCGGCTGGGGGGGGCTCACAGATGGAAATCCACCTGTGCTTCAGGGGCGCGCTTGAGACGATGGAGCTCAGTGACGCCAGTGCAGCTTCTGTCTTGGTCGGGGCGTACTACTACCTTCAGGCAGAGGACGTGGTGCTCACCACCCGATCGTGGCGGTCGCTAGTCGTGACCTCGCTGCTCGCAGCGGCCAGCGTGCTGTGCGAGGGCGCGGAGCGCGAGCGGGCAGTCGGCAAGTTACGACGCGTTGCTGCGTGTTGGTGGTCCGAAGCCAAAGTCAATCGGGCACTCCAGGTCTTCAGGCTGCGCGACGCGTTCGTGCAGGACCCGCTCAGCGAGCAGAAGATATCGGCACTGTACTCCGAGCTGCACGCCCAGCAGGCCGATCCCCTCCATGGCGGCAGCGGCCCGGGGTCTGCCTCGCTCGAGCTTCCTCCCCACCTATCGGCCAAGAGGAACGTCCATGCCAAGGCTACGAAGTCGTGGTCAAGCCGCAACGGCGATCTTGCCGACCGCAGCGGCGACGGCTATGCATCTGACCAGTCTGTCATCTCCATCTGAGGCGTTTCGTGCCACGCAGGAGGCCTGCAACCCCCTACGCTTGATCGGCGTGCGTGCTTGACGGCTCGCTCGTCGCGGGCAGAGTACCGCTCCTCCCACGAACATATGTTTCTAGGCATCGCTCGGACGTGTGCATGTGTCGCGGCGGGGACCATCGAGGAGCATATCGGTTCATCTCTCGGAACAACAACTCACGAAACCGGAAAACGAACAGGGAAAAGACGTCCGAGCGATGGCCCGTTGTCTTACACTGTAGCGAGTTGTTGTGCTCAAAGATCGGCCGTTCGGCCAAGCGAGCTAATATAGTCCTGCTCGCATGCGAATCCGCTCGAAGAGCAGCCGTTCGGCACAGAATTTGATGGCCTGTTAGGTGCCTGGATTGTAGGTCAGAGGCTTATTGGATGCCTGTGGGGATCTCTAGAGAGGCCGCTCGGAAGCTTCTTGGATGTGTTTTTTTCAAAGTTTTTTTGTTTGCCAAATGGGGGGTCTCCTGGGGCTTCTTACAGGCCTCTTGGAGGTCATCTTGGGGCGGAGGGCTCAGAATGTCGGCTCGAGTTTCTCCTCGTGGGGCCGTCTTGGGGGCCTGTTGGGCCGTCTTGAGGGTCTCTTGGGCCGTCTTGCGGGCCTCTTGGGACGATCTTTTGGACTTATGGGGCCGTCTTGAAGTGTCGGAGGCCCGAAAAGGCGAGAACGCTACGATCCTTCAAACCCCGATGAACAATCAATGAGGCCCTCCTTGGGGGCGTCTCGGATCCCTCTTGGAGCGTCGCCTATTGGGCTGTCTTGAGGCCATCTTGGGCATCTTTGAGAGCTCTGAGGCCGTCTCGGGGCCCTCTTAGACCGTCTTGGGAGCCTGTTGGCACCCTCTTGGCGTCTTCTTGCCCCCGCAAACCCGAAAACCCACAGGAAGTCCCAAGAGCACCCCGAGAACTCCCAGAGCTCGGGGATGAGGGCCCCTTGGAGGAGCGCGGAACACGTTCAACGCAGAGAACTCGGAGGGACCCGTGGGCACTCCACCTCGTGCCTCGGGGCACGGTGCCGGCTTTTTCCAGAAGCGATTCCGCAGCTGGGAATTCTCTCGGGCAGCCCACGCGGCCCACCCTCGCGGGCAGCCCACGTCTCTCGCGAAGCCCGCGCGACTGGATGTCTCGCGACTGGCCGCGCGAAGTCTCCGGCCGAACGAAAGGGGGGTATAGGGAAAGGGGGGGTTACGAAATCTGCTGCATGCAGCTGGTTTCGGCCCCGCCGCCAGGCCCATTCCTTGATACATGGGCGCCGGGCGGCGCCGGGAAAATCAGCTACGTGAGCTGATTCTCAAACCCTCCCTTTGCTATCCCCCCCTTTCGCCCGGCCCGATAGTCGGACAGGACGTTAGGACGAGGATCAGTCCGTTCCAGAGCGTTCCGGAGCGCTCTCAGAACTGATGGGACGCTCTGAGAAGGCCGCGGCGCCCGATACGTCGTCCATGGCCGCCAGATCTCAGAGATTCTCGAGTCGTCCCCGTCCGAATTCGTCCTCGTCCTGGCTGCTTCTTGCTTCGTGCCTCCTCGGGACGCTTTAGCACCCTCTCTGCGCTCGGCCCGCTCGCTGGCGGGCACGCGCAGGGGAGAACGTGGGGCAGCGTCTCCCGCACGCCCGGCGGGGCAGGGCAAGTACCGGCCTGCCGTGGCAGCTCCGTCACGGCCGAGGCAGCCACTGGAGGGGCATTTTTGCAGAGGAGGAAAGAGGTATCCATACTGCTACCCTTGCTGCGTTTTCCCCTTTGGGGGGGCCCCTGGGAGGCCCTCGTGGCCACCGCTGGATTCGCCTCGAAGTTCCAGCCAGAATGCACCCTGGGAGAGGTCTGGGGAGCAGCGGTATCGGTACCTTTTGGTTTCCCCAGCTTAGGGGATTGTACGTTCTCCATGATTTTTGCTGTTGCTAGCCCGCTGAGATTCTTGGTCGGGTCGCTTTCGCGCTAAAGCGCAGAGCTGGGGGCAGCGCCCAGGCTCACAGACACCACCACCGCGCGGCGTTCGCGGCAGAACAGCCCGAATCTCGAACCTCGAGTACGCAGTGCGCGCGCAGAGTTGAGACAGCGATTCGGCACCCACGCCCGACGAGTTCTCAAGCACCAGCCTGCGGGCGCGGCAGGTGTCGCTGGCGGCCCCTGCTCGCGCGGCTCGTGGCCAAAACTTGCCCTCGCTCCAGCTTTCCGTCACGGACCCCTGCCTCGCTCCGCTTCGTCCAAGTCCAAGCTGTGGACGCCTAAGCGCCCCGCCGCGCCCATGCCGTACACGGGTCGCGAGCTCGGGGCCGGCGTCCTTCTGCGGCCAGGCCGGGGGCACGTTAAGTGCCAGCCCGCCAGGCGTTGCCATGCACCGGGCAGTGTTCTTAGAAGTGTTCGCAGGGAGGGGCTGGCTGGGGCCGGCGGTGGCGGGAGGAAGGTAGGCGTAGGAGGAGGAGGAGGAGGAGGAGGAGGAGGAGGAGGAGGAGGAGGAGGAGGAGGTTACGACGAGTTGTCGCACTTGAAGCACAGGGCTTAGAAAATGATCAGCCTCCCGCGCCCCTCCCCCAACCCACGCTGACCAATACTCCTCGTAATCCCGCCCCCTCGCCCCGTCCTCTGCGCGCGCCCGTGCGTCCCTCCCACCCTGGTGGGAGTGGCCCGCGCAGGTCCTCCGGACGAGGTGAGGGGTACAGTGGAGACCCACGCCAAGAAACACCCTGCTTGCCCCCAAATTGCCCTGGGTTTCTTGGGTTTCGATGGTTTTTCTACGGGAAGCGTGACGTTCCTACACCAAAATTCCATGGAGGGCTTCTTGTGGAGGGCTTCTTGTGGACTGGCCTCCACTGTAGGCCTCCTGCAGCTCACGTGTAGGCAGCGCTGCCCGAGGCGAAGAGGACGAGGGCGAGCGCGCCTCCGAGGACCTCGGGGCGAGGAGAGCCCCACCTCCGACGGCGCGGTGGTTTTTGTTCGCAGCGTGGCTCCCGAGAGGTCTTAGGCGCCCTTCCCAGAGGCCGGCATTTCATCCTGAGTCGTCTGTTTCGGTAGCAGGTCACGGGAGCCTTGTGTGCCCTCGCAATTCTGTCTTCAGCGTCGCTCAGCGTCGATCCGCGTCTGGGAGTCGATGAGATGGTGCCGATGTAGCGTTCCTTAGCGTCGGTGTAGCGTCGATGAGCGTCGGTTCGCGGGAGCCGATGAGATGGTATGGGAGGTTCCCATGAGTTGCCACCGAAGTTTCTGACGTTCTCAGGGCACAGGACACGGCGAAAGATCGGTCCGAATTCCGCCTCTGGCGAGGTAGTTGCGTACACAGTTTTAGTTCAGGGCGGGAGAGGCGGGGTCTGCAGCGGCAGCGCTTCCCCACCTCCGTGGCCAGTTGCCTCAGTGGCCCCACATAGGGCCGTGCTAGCAGCACGCATGTTGCATTCTACACGCGCTGAGTGCAGTAAAAAAGTCGCAGGGTCCGGCGAAATGGCCCCCTGGGGGCCTCAGCGGCACCGTAACAGGTACTCCCTGACGGGTATTTTGGAGACGTGCCGAAAGTTGCCACTTTGGGGCCTCTTCCTGGCATTGCAGCGTTGCCCACATCGGGGAGGGTTGGGTTCGCCGGGTCACTGGCCGAAGCACCCGTCGGTGGAGTCCCCGTTAGGGGAGCGCTGAGGGCCGTAGCTTGCCGAGTCGCTTCGTCGCATGTCGCTTCACGACGAGAGGAGACCCGCGGAGGGCGGGGACGGTTTGTGCCCACCACCGCCGTAGCGAATACCCCCCCCCACAAAAAAAAGCAAGAGACGATACACGGCAGACTGCGCCGCAATTGAACGACCACTTTCGGTGGGCAACCGCGAACAAGGACCGCACGTCGCTCCGCCGCGGGAGGCGATCGGAACGGCCCAAATTGGGAATGCCGAAGAGGGGGTTTGCAGGGTCAACCAAAATACGTGAGCCGATTTCAATGATATTTCATTATAAAAGGGATGGCAGGAGGTTGAAGAGGAACGGACATTGGAACGACAAGGGAGGGCGAACGAGGTGGATAGGAAGGATAAGGATGAGGGGGCGGGTGCAAGGCGCAAGCAAAGGAAAAACTGGAGAATGAGCAGTTCGACAGGCAACCGCAAAGGACCTGGGAGCACGAGCTCATTCTTGGGCGCGCCTGGTGTGTACTTGTTTGCCTCCCACGGCCCCATGGACATACCCACCGCCCCCAGCTGCGATATCGCCCCGAGGCGATGGGCATTCCACGCCCCGGGGCCATGCTCAAGAGGCATGCTGGTCTGCTGCCTCGCTTCTCCCTCCTCCTAAACGCCTGTTCCTCCTTGCCCCCCCCCTTCCCTCCATCTCCTCCATCCCTCGCCTGACCTCCCCCGCGTCTCGCGTCTCGGGTTGGCTTTCATCGGGCAGCGCCAGCGGTTTAGTCAGTGCCGTGCTGATCCATGCAGTTGCGCTGTACGTATATATCGTGAAGGTTGGCTACCGATGGGGCGCACGTCTGAATGGCGAAGAGAAGTGGTTGCACCCCTTGACATGCTAAATGATTGTGCAGCATGCGGCGCACCCCTGGAACTGCACGCCGCGAGCAGTGTGCAACCTCTGGCTTCCAGCAAACGCACGCCGGCCGACGTGGCGACTCGAAGCGCGCCGCGGTGCCGCAGGCCTGCCGGACACGCTGCAGCAGCCGCTGCGCAGCATGCAGCAGGCGCCCCGAGCCCCCCGCTTCGGGGGCAGCGTTGGGTGGTGGTGGGGGGGGCAGTACTAGTGAGACGGGGAAGAGGTACCCATACGGCTACCTTGGCCTCGCTTTCCCCATGTTCGGCCTCCTGAGAGGCCCTCGTCACCACCGCTGGATTCGCCTTGGCGTCCTAGTCAGAAGACGCTCCGGGAGCGGTCTGGGGAGTAGCGGTATCGGTACTTTTGGGTTTCCCCTCTTCAGGGGCAACGTTGGGGGGGGGGATACGGAAGAAGAGGAAACGCCATAAACATAAACGTTTGGCGCTCCGCGCGGATTTCTGGGATCCGCGCTGGGCCCCCCTTGGCGGCGCCTCTGGCGCCGCCCCTGGCGCGCTCCGCGCGCCAGGGAGGGGGGTCCAGCGCAGATCCAAGAAAATCCGCGCGGAGCGCCAAAAGTTTATGTTTATCTAGTTGTTTCTCCCTTTAAGATAGACTCATGGAGGAGCGCATCGAGCCCCAATCGCCCATGGATCGCCGATCGGGGCCAGATGGCCCACCCCGCCCAGGAGCGTGGGGATTCACTATGGTGGGCCTGCCGCCGATCCATCGGCGATGCATCGCCGACTCAAGCTCGATGTTTCCCCCCCGTCAGCTGGTCCCGCCCCCGAGCCTGAGACCCCAGGACTTCCATGGATTTTTGGTGTGGGAACGTCACGCCTTCCATAGCAAAACTGTCGAAACCCAAAACACCTGGGGCACCCCAGGGGCGACCTGGGTGTTTCTTGGCGTGTGTCTCCACTGTACCCCTCACCTCTGTGCTTCTTGCCGCGCGCCTGCTGGCGCCCGTCCGCGCCGCCGCCCGCCGCCGCCGGGTTCCCTGTGGGGCGCTGCTGCCGAGGCCCACTTTCGAGGGTCGATTTTCGAGGATCGATCGATCGAGCGATCGAAGTTTGAGGATCGAGGATCGTCTATCGATCGGTCGAGGCTCGACGATCGAGGTTCGAGTCCTCGTGCCCACCGCCCCATCGGCGCCCCTGCTCCTGCGCCTCGACCTCTTCCTCGTCCCGCCTCGCCCCAGTTTTGTCCCCCTGCCCACGCACACGCGCCCTGCCCCTCCGTCCACGCCCTCGTCCACGGTTCCTTGGCCCGCTCCTTGCTCCCTTCCCCCCCCCTTTTCGTTCCTCCAAGAGCTTTTTTCCTTAGGGCCCAGTTTCATCCTCACTTCTCTCACTCCCCCTGCACTCCCTCCCCTATCCTCCCCCCCTCCTGTCATATGTCTTGCATGATGCCTCATGTATCGTTCTGCTCCCTCTTTCTCAACATTCCATTCCCTCGCCTGTAACTCATCCATCTTCCCTTCCTCTCACTCTCTCTTCATTCTCGCTTTGCTAATAAGAAATGCTTATGACTATATGGGCTCATGTAGTATTGCCTTGCGTAGGCGCGGTGAGGTGGAAGCCCTGCTCCTGGATTGCATCATTACGGACGTTGGTATCCAGGTTGCCTGGACGATGGCGCGAACCGTTATCAGAACAGTGTTCGATTAGTTCCGAGTGTTGAGGCGGCCACATCTCGATCATTACAAGATTGTGCATTTGGAGCGCGCTGCCAAACATGTTCAATGTCGGGGGATGCTTCCAGATCAGGACAGGATGGATATCAAAGACGAAAACAAAGCAATGGTGGAATGCGCGCAGTTGTTTGGAGTAGGTTCGAGGACAACGACCTAGGACCGACGACACATGCACACAACAACTAGACCGAGGCCATGACTATATTGTGATCAACAAGGGCGAGAACGCTACTGCGTGGCTGGCACAAGCACCCACCAGCGATCCAAGTCGGTGGGAGTCCGGACAGCGGCGGAGGAAGAACATGAGGCCGTTGTTGGTGGCCAGGCCATTGGCGCAGGTTTTGCGCCAGTTGCTCCCGCGGCCGTCTCCGCCGGCATTGGCCAGCGTGCTACCCGCAGCCAAGCAGCGGGAACACCCAGGCCGCGGCGGTCGCCTCGGACCCAGGCGCCATCCATTTCACGCCTTTGCACAAGTTGCACGTAGGCGGGACGTCCAGACAGATCCCGCGCGTGACGGTGGCTCCTCCCGCGGTTTAGGGCACCGTGACGTTGACGCTGGAAGACACTAGAGCATTGCGCCCAAAGCTGCCCCACCTAACACCCGTGGAGGGCGATCCCAAAGGGAAACATGGTCACTTCAATCTGACTGTCATGGTCGACACCTGCGCCGTGCGGCAAAAACGACATGGGCTGCAGGAGAGGCAAGGACAAGAAGGGCGTCAAGGGAGGCGCAAGGACCACAAAGGGTAACAACAAGGAAAGGGAACGCTTGGCAAGAACGCCAAGGGCAAGAAGGACTGGTACCGAGATTTGGGGGATGCACTGGTGGGCTCTGAAATACGCTCCGATCGGCGGCCATGAGCGCCTTAATAAGTCAATGGCGTCGCGCTGAGCGATTTCACGAGATGCTGGTACCTCTGGTATACCTGGCCGGACGCGATGCAAATCTGCTCTTGGGCGGTAGCGTTTTCTTTGTGGGGTTGCTGAGGTGCAGCATTGCCTGGTATCGCTCTGTTGCCCGCCTCGGTAGATGCAGTTATTGGTGCACCATTTCCGTCCCCCTCCCTGATATTGCCGTTGTATCATACACGGCAGTTGCACGTTGGATCCATGGGTCACTGGAGCGATCGCTATCTCTCGCAGGGGGGGAATATGTTGCTTGGTTTCATTACCGTCGTATCATATTTGACCATGTCCGATGCTGGCCCGGGCGCCCTGAACCAGACATGAGACCAGTGATAAAATGCATAGCAGGAAGTATTACCTGAATGGGTTGGCAACAGACTCGCGCGCTTTGTTAGTGAGTGCACGATGCACATTGCATCAAACACCCCGCGCGCCGCCAAATCACGGTATTGTTCCTCACTACGTCTTCCTCTTAGTCCATGAGTTGCGCTTGAGGCCGCGCACCGCCATATCGCGATGCCCCTGCCTTGTTGCGCCAGTGGCTGCACCGGACACCCCGCGCATCATTGCATCGCAGTGCCCCCCGCTCTGTGCTTCTCCCTTTCTAGGCTGCAGCAGGTACATGTCCCCTCTGCGTCTACCGCTTACAAGTCGCGCCATGGGTTGCGCCTGACACCCCGCGCGCCACCGAATCAAGTTTTCTAATTTTGCCGACGTTTAATCCGCGCCAGACATTCCGTGCACCACCGAATTGCGATGTCCCATCGCCGCATGGCACCGCCGACATTCCATCGGTCACGCCACGGGTTGCGCTTGACACCCTGCTTACCACCGAATCGAGTTGTTCTGACCTTGCCGCCCAATCGTTTACACAGCAGGTTGCGCCAGACACTCCGAGCACATCGAAATCGCGATGTCCCCGATTTGTCAATTTTCATGGGTTGCGCCAATGGTTGCGCCAGGCACCCCGCGTACCATGAAGTCGAAATGGCCCGCCCTGTCTCTCTTCACAGGCTGCCCTTTTACATTGAACAGGAACGCCACACACACAACAAAACCATGATTTTACCACTGCGCATCAAGTCCTCAGGTGGAGTCCAAGGTCGCGTCATAGGTTGCGCCAGATTCCCTGCGCACCGCAAAGTCGCGATGTTCCAACATGTCAACCGCCCACAGGTTGCGCTACGAGTTGCCCCGTAGGTTGCGCCAGACATCCCCCGCACCACCAGAACGCGATCCACGTTGGGCACCGTTTGTAGGTTGCGCCATAGGTTGCGCCAGACTCCCCGCGCACCACCCAGTCGTGATATTGATTTAGAGGTTGACACATGAGCGCTAGATGCACCACATGTCGCGACAGACACCCAGCACACCACACATCGCGATCTCCCACTCCGTATAGTTTGCTTGGGTTGCGCCATGTTGAGTTGCGCCAGGGAGACCGTCGGTTTCATCGCGGTGTGTTTTCTAAAGTTGTGCACCAGACACCCCGCGCGCCACCAAGTCGTCAAATTCTTGGGCGGTGGCGCCATCGATGCATTTCCGAGTAATGTGTTACCGCACTCGTTGTGCAGGACATTTGCTTCTGAGAGCGTTGTTGTGTTTCTCCAAATGGTGCTATTGCGATGTTGGGTGGGCCATGTTGGGGCCCCTTTGGAAGCCCGATGGCCATTCTGGAGTCATCTTGAAGCGTGAGAAGCCCATCGGAGATGAACAGGCGAGAAGACAACAATACAAGGCACATAGTGCGCATGTGTAGATTTGTGTGGAAGTACACATGTATGGCCACTCCGTGGGATGAATGTTGGATGGCATGCTGGACAATCTGCAGTAGATTGAAGGCCATTTCGATTGGGCCACGGCTACTTGTGGCAAGTGTGAAAATTTCTGCTGCGATGTTCAACGCTCTGACCGATCGCGAGTGGGGGTGGGGGCAAACATATCGCAGGGGAAGAAGGTTCTTTCGAGATAGGCCGTGTTTTGAACAAATTACGCCCAGATGGTTGGTGAGGTCTCATGTGGCGCATGCATAATGGATTCACGCAAGATATGAAGTCCACGGGACATCTACATGCCCCCCTCATGCATGTCAGTTTGAGGCCCGCAGACGTCACTAAAGAATCGCCGTCACTCCTTCTCCACGTTGCATGGAAACTTCGAGGAGGTGGGTTGTCCACAGAGGAATGCACAGGTGTTGCCCCAGGGGTCGCCCGGCAAGTTTGAATGATACGCTTATTGCAATACAGCAGTTGCCACCCCGCAGTACATCCCAGGCCAGGCGTAGTGGACGCAATTTGGGCGAAGAACAGGGGCGAGGCGTCTCCTTCTCGCGCCCCTACCCGCAGGAAGTCTGTGTGCTGCTCACGTCCATGGCCGCGAAGCTGGACGGCGCCGAGAACGGCCGCGCCGCTAGCCCGCCGTGCCAGAGCCCAGGAGCAGCAGGGCCGCAGCAGGAGGAGGTCCAGCAAGAGGGGCTGGCGGAGCAAGAGGACGAGGAGCAGGAGGCGGAGCAGGGGGGTTAGACAAGACGGATCGTGAAGCGAAGCCAGAACGGAACGGGTTACGCTCGAGACGCTTGCGCAGCTTTGATGAGCACCGGAGGCCACAGGCTCCGCTCTGTATGCCCACGATACGCCCTCCTGGCCTTGGCAGGTGGAGACAAACCTTGGCGAGATTCCTGCGCTGGAGAAGATGACGAGGAGCAGGAGGAGGAGCACGGGGAGCACGAGAAGCGGGAGGAGCAGGAGGGTCAGGAGGACGGGGGAAGAGGCGTGAAGAGGGGAGAGAGAGAGAGGGGAGCCAAGGAGCAGAGGAGAGCGAAAAGTTTTGGGGACAGAGCCCGTGCAGGGAACGAGAGGAAGAGGGAGAGGCACTTTCGCGCCGCCTCGACGCGCGCCCTCGCCGCCCTCCTCAACGGCCCGGCGGTGGGCCGTGCCTGTGGTCGACGCGTGGTCATGCGTCCCGCCGCGCGGGCACGCCGCGCTGCGTCCCTCCCCCCCCCAGCGCCCCGCCAAATGTCGCTGAGGCCACCTGGTCTTCCTGGTGAACAACTACGACCTGGTGCCTCCCGCGCGCTCCCTTCGGGGAGGCGCGAGGGTGCTCTGCATGCGGCTGCGGCTTCCGGGGGGGGGAGTGGAGGCGAGGCGAGGCGAGGGGGAAGAGGGGAGTGGGTTGGCGTTGCGCCCGGGGGACAGGCCGAAGGGGCGGTCTTTCTCTGAAGACCCACGAGATGATAGTTTTCTTATTCATTGTGTTGCCGATCGTCGCGGGCCCTCGCACCCCCTTCCCCCCATGGAGTAGATCTTGGCTGCTTTCGGCGCCTGTTTCCAGCAGGTGTAGTCTCCCCCATAGGCCTCATTGTTGCAAACAGTCTCATTAAGCATGGGTCCAGAGCCAGACCCTCCCCGCCACCCCCCCTCTTCTGCCCACACGCCGAAAAAGAACATGTTCACAAGGCTTCTGGCCTTCAAGGGAGCTGGCTGAGCCTCCTCCGAAGCCACAGACGGGGCTTCCAAGAAGCCCCGCCGACTTCCTCGGAGGCCTCCCCCCTTTCGAGCCACCCAGAGCTCCATGTTCACCCTGTCTCGCTTTCCTTTCCCGTCCTCCCCGCCCTCCTCCTGGTCCTCATTCCTCATATTCCCTTCTCCCTTCGCCGGGGCCGCGAGTGTGTCCGCAGACCTCCCTGGCGGCTCGGCGGGCCCCCACGAGGTTCTAACCGTGTTCGTCGAGCGCCATTTGCCGCGCACCGCCATCGCCGGTTTCGAGGAGGGCCTCTCTTTGCGCCTCCCCTGTGCAGGAGTCCTTCCTCCGCAGGGCGAAGGCGGAGGGGGTATGTTTTCCGCGGAGGGCGGGGGGGCAGAGGATGAGATGGAGGGAAAGGAAGGGAGAGGGGGAGGAGGCAAGCTAGGTACGCTCGCGTCATATCTGACATCCTACCCCTCCCTTCCATCCCTTGCCATGGCGTAGCTGTCCTCTCTATTCGCAAAGTCGGATGTCGAGCAGGGCAATGATCGCGAGAGGGTACGCGCTGCATGGTAGAGCACGGCATGGCATGGCGTAGAAGAGCACGGCAGAGCGTAGCATGCCATAGCACGGCGTAGCATTGCGCAGTGAAGAATTGCATCACAAAGCATTGCAACGCAAGGCATGGCATCGCACAGCGGCGCAGAACACAACACCGCACAGCATGTCATGTCATGGCGCGATGCTCCTTGGAGGGTAAGTGGATCGTCTTCGAGAGGTCTGGGCTGGTCTGGGGTCGTGGCTCCATGTCTAGCTTCTTAGGCTCCCCGAAGAGCTCCACACAAAAGGCGGGGCGAAGCGGCCTAAAAAATCAACGAATCGACACCGAATGTGTAATCACGTCCGAAGGTTTTCCGGGGGCCGTCTTCTACATTTTGGGAACTATCTGGAAAGACCGAAAGCGCCCGGGTTGCAGCGGGAGCACGATTTGGGACAACCAGAGGCGCAGAAATGGGCCAGCGCTTCAGCGGGAGCAACCTTGTGAGAAACAAACAAGCGAAAACCCGCTTCCTTGGAATATTGAAAAAAACCGTGCGCGGAGGGGGGGTGAACATGTCTTGGACGTCATCAGGGGAGCGAGGAGAGTAGCATTCATATTGTGCAATTGTGAAGGCGAGAGGGCGGAGGGGGGCAGAGGGAATGGGGAGAAGGGAGAATTAGCGGTCAGGGAGGCGTGGGCCACTTGACTTGCACCCTCTCGATCGTCCGTCGCTCCCTCCCCCCCACCACCCTCTCCGAAGTTCCGTCATGCAAAGGCACTGGCAAAGTTGCGATTTGAGTTTGCAGAAGTGTCGGCCGATCGAATTTTGCAGCCTCGCCCTTCGCGCTGAGGAGAAAGGGTAAGCAGCAGGACGGCAACCAGCGCGATCGAAGCCCTCCCCAAGTCAGGCTTGTCGAGGTGGCAAGCGCAGCTCCGAGACGAGCGATCGAGTGCGTGGGATCTGTCGGCTTCAACTTCGAAAACGAGTGCGCAATATTGCCGATCATCACGTTCAAGAGAGAGGAGAGAGAGAGAGAGAGAGAGAGAGAACAACCAAAAAATGGGGGATGGAGATCAGAGAGGGGGGAGGCCAAGCTAGGTGCGCTCGCGCCGCATCTGACATCCTATCCTTCCCTCCCATCCCTTCCCACTTCGCTGATTGTTCGGTACCCGCTGACGCGTGTCATAGCTGACCTGGAACCCCAACACTCATCATGGCGAAGGACCCAACCATATGCAATTTTCAGTACCTCAAGGCAGATAGGACGAAGGAGGGGAAGCCCCTGATTGGGCCATGGGAAGACCTGGAACCTCAACACTTATCATGGCGAAGGACCCAATTGTCAGTACCTCAAGGCAGGTGGGACGGAGGGGGAGCTCATCATGGGGCCACGGGACGTGTGAGGGGCATGCCAACATGAGCGGGGGGGGGGCATGAGGACACCGCCGCGAGGCCTTCGGTGGAGCTCCCTATAGGGGCAGGCCACGAAACGCGCGATGGGCGCGCCGAAATGGGTCGGGGGAGACGCATGTGATCACGGCCACTGGGGCCTTCGGTGAAGCGCCTCGGAGCGCTCGTGGGAGCGCCTGGAGAGCGCCTGAGAACGCTTGGGAGCGCCTGGTTTGGGCGCGCCTGGGAACGTCTGGGAGCGCCTGGGAGCGCTTGGGAACGCTTGAGAGCGCCGGGAGCGCCTGGGAGCGACGGGGGAGCGCTTGGGAGACATGGGAAGCGCCTGGAGCGCCTGGTAGCGCTTGGGAGCGCCTGGGAGCGCCTGGGGACCGCCTGGGCACCTGGGAGCGCCTGGGAGCGCTTGGGAGCGCCTGGGAGCGCCGGAAACGCTTGGGAGCGCCGGGACAGCGTTTGGAAGCGCCTGGGAGCTCCTGGGAGCGCTTGGGAGCGCTTGGGAGCGCCCGGGAGCGCCCGGGAGCGCCTGGTAGCGCCTGGGAGCGCATCGAGAGCTCCTCGAGAGCGCCTGGGAACGCTTGGGAACTCCTGGCGTTTAGGAGCGCTTTGGAGCGCCTGGGACCGGATGGGAGCGCCTGGGAGAACCTGGGGGCGACTGGGAAGCGCATCAGAACGCTTGAAAGCGCCTGGGATAGAGGCGCCTGGGTGCGCTTGGGAAGTGCCTGGTAACGCCTGGAAAACGCCGAAGCTTGGGAGCGCCTGGGAGCGCTTGGGTATGCTTGGGAGCGCCCAGGACCCATGTGAGTGCCTGGGAGCGACGGGGGCGCGGATGCAGGTGGTCACAGCCAATGGAGCCTTCGGTGGAGTTCCTTATGGGCCAAGAAACGCTGCACTGGGTGGCGCGGGCGCATGTGGTCACAGCCACTGGGGCCTCCGATGGGGCTCCCTATAGGGGCCAAGATGCGTTGTATTCTCGTGCGCGTGACGCATGTGGTCACAGACATAGGAGCCGTTGGTGGAGCTTCCTATGGGGCCACGAAGCGCTTTAAGAATTCTCGTGCGCGGACGCGTGTGGTCACGGCCACTGGGGCCTTCGGTGGAGCTCCCTATAGGGTCACGAAACGCTGTACTGGATGGCGCGGACGCATGTGGTCACAGTCACTGGGGCCTTCGGTGAAGCTCCCTCTGGGGCCACGAAACGTGTAGTGGGTGGCGCGGACACATGTGGTTACAGCCACGGGGGCCTTTTCGGTAGAGCTCCCTATGGGGCCACGAAGCGCTGTATTGGGTGCGGAGGGCAGAGACAGGGATGGGAGGATGGGCGAGGAGCACGAGGAGGAACGCGGGGCGCTGTCTTTTCAAAGCTAGGACCCAACACCACAGGATGGCTGGGAAGCAGACACCTTCATGTGAGACGAAATCGAAAAGGGGGAGCTTCGGACATCGGAAGACGAGGTGGCGGGTGAGCAGGAGGATTAGCAGGATTACCAGGAGGATATGGAAAGGAGAAAACGAGGACGAACAGGAGCAGCAGCAGGAGCTGGAGTGGAACGAGTGGGAGGAGCAGATGGACCAGGGGAAGGCGGAGGAGGGGAAATTCATAGGGCGGCATCGATTAACAAAACGACTCAGATCCAGAAACGTGGCCAATGCTGAGCGAGAGCGCCATTCTGATCGACGGGAGCAAAGCGCCGATCCGAAAATGAGGCTCATGTTGCAGCGGGAGCATTCTGAAACACCGAGAGCATTCGGATTACAACAAGTCACTGGAAAGGTTACCTTCTTCGCAATTCTGTTTGAACAACAATGCGCGGAGAGAATCGGTGGTCTTCCGGACGGAGTCCAGGGAGAAGAGGAGAGTCAGGTTCATAGTTTGTGTAAGTGTGGAAGGGCGTGGAATGGGAGGAGAGGACGGAGAAGAGGGAGGAGGCGGAGGGGGAGGGGGGAGGAAAAGTGATATTGCGAAGATTTGCCAATGTGCGATTGAAAGGTCGGACGCCGTGGCCTAGACGCGTGCACTGCGAGCGTCGCCTGGACCGCACAGGGGCGGGCCGCGAGTCTACCCCATCCCGCGGTTGGGGGGCAGCTCGCGCAGAGGCTTTTCACCCTCATCGTTCCCAGCAGTCCTCGCGCCGAGGGCTGGATCGGGGACTCTCCGATTCCATGGATGCACGGTTGCTCGTAATACCCTCCGCGACGATCGACTAGCTCATGTCTTGCAGCGATGTGGAGGCAAAGGCAGCGGTACGAGTGCTGGCCAGCGGACGCCCGAGAGTGACCTGTCTTGACCACGTTCTGGTGGTGCTGCTGCTGCTGCTGCTCGAGCCAGCACTGTCTGAGCCACAACGATATGAGCCAAGAGCAAGGGGCGTTCGAAGTTGTACATCCAGAACTTCTGGCCGCCCAGTAGGTCTCGTGTTTGGCGGTACGCTCGGCCCAGGTTTGCCAAAGCCGTCGGTTCGTTGCCGCTTCGCAGGGTATGTCAGTAATTCGGGTCTTTGTGTGTCAGTTGGCCAGACTGGTTTGGAGATGTGCTCTCGCATCTTCGACGTAATTCCCGCCGCAAATGCCAAATCCAGTTCGTCTGCGAGTCAGTCCGAGTCCTTGAGCCTTGACTTGGCGACCTCCGGAGGCTTGACGCGCGCGCGATCGGGGTAGACTCCACCGAGTTTGTTGCGGCTTTTGCTGGTGCCTTCTTGCCGACGCACTCCAGCCGTCGCTCGCGTGCCACTGTGTGCACGCCCACGCGCAATGGTTGAATGACGCACGCGCATGGCTCAGGATCTGCAGCTTCCCTGCCGGGTGCGTTCAGTCCTACGACTCAGGCGGGCGTGGCTCACGAGTAACGCTTGAGTCAAGCAGCTAATGAGGTGGACGGGAAGGAGGGGATGGGGGGGGAGGTAGGGGAAGGAGCGTGCTCTCTGTGACTAAAGCATGGAGGATCTCCTGCGCGAGCAAGTCGGACTATTCGTCGAGAACCAGCTCATGAGGCGCGCTGAATTCTCGTGTTCATGGCTGCGGCCGAGTGCCCGTGCAGAATAGAGAGAGAGAGAGCAGGCAATATGAGAGAGATAGAAAGAGAGAGAGAGAGTAGAGTAGAGAGTATAGTATGTATTCATAATAGAGAGCGTAGGGAGTAGACAGCATCTCGCAGAGCGATTATAGTGGTATGTACATGAGCTAGAGTACAGAGTGAGGGCTACTCGGTATACGTGTATATATATATATATGAAACGAACAGCAAAAAACATGGCATGCACATGCGCATATAATTTGATCCCGAGCATAACAGCACACAGCATGTGATATATTAAAGATATAGTGTGAGAGATAGAGGTAGAGAAATATAAATAGAGAGTGAGACAGAGAGAACGTGAGAGAGAGGGATAACAACATATGAAGAGGTAGGGCGTGAAAGAGAGAGTGAGAGAGAGAGATACTGAGTATGGTAGATATTTCAAGACAGTAGAGAAGATAAAGTATAGAGTCAAGATTTCCCCGGTCAGTGCGTGGACTGCAGGGGTCTTAGCGGACATTGACAGAGTAGACGAAAGTATTTTGTCAATTTCTTCAGCGGCCGGGTTTCCTGGTGCCCGGGCTCCGGGTCGAGGGCAAATTTACGCCGGCAAGGTAGGTTGCGGTCGGTTGTCAGCCAGGGCGGGCAAGCAGGATATTTCTAGAGTTTTGGGGGAGGGCATTTGATTTGGGTTTTCTCGCGAAGAGAAGCAGCATTGCCCACCTATGAGGAGCAGTGGAGGCTTCGGACACGAAGCAAATATGTGTGTAACCCTCAGGGAGCCCCGAGATGCTTTTGGGATCGTTGCTGAAGATTCCCCAAAGCCTCAAAAGTGGTTCCGCTGGATTGCCCGACAAATATTCAAGGGGGACCCATGCTCGCATCTCGGTCCCAGAGACGCCCCAGACCATCAGAGCAGTCTCCGTGAACAATACAATTCGCCACGTGAGGTTCTGTGCTGGGTGGGATTGGTGGGTGTTCCACTGGTCGCTCCCTAGGCTTGCCAAGAGGGTTCCTAGCATTACTGTTTCTTCAGTGCGGGTGCTCTGGGCTGGTATCCCTCCCGTGAGACTCGCGCGCCCCTCCCGTGTGTGCCCGCTCGCTTCCAGTGCACTTCGCGTGGCTTGCCAGAGAGATCGCTCCAGGCGTGCCCGCCCGCGTCCGGCAGCCATCGCGTGGCCAGCGCTTTCTCGCGGGTCCCAAAACGGCGCGGTGCCGATGCTGAATGCACTAAGGTTCCTTAATAGTGGGATCCCCTTTCTGTTGCATGAAACACGCGACAGAGAGTCAGTCAAGTTCAAACACTGTGCGGGGCTCCCAGAGCAACGGCGAAACCGACCTGGCATCTGCCGTGGCCGCTCGCGCGCCCTACTCGGCTCGAGCGGGGCCGCCCAGAGGCTCTGGCCGAGGTGCCTCGATGTTACAGGTTGAGTTCGCAACTGTGTTCCTTCAGCTCCCAGCGGCCTTGCCTTCGGGCCTCTCCCAGCAAACATTGACCGCGCGTGCGATGCGACTGCGTTTTGCCGGCGGTGCGATACGATTGCCGAACTCCTCATAAGGATGGTTGGCAGAGAGGCGCGCAGGCCTGCTTGCCTCGGAGGCGTGCAGGTATGGCCCAGTTGGAAGGCAATCAGGTATGCATGCCTTGGTGAAGTGCAAGCAGGTCGGGACAACTATGATTAACACCAGCGTATCCGCGTAGCCCGCGTGGTCCGACCCGGCCTCCAAGGGGAGGGGGGAACGTGGTATTGGGGGATTGGGGCCGCATAGCCCGCGCGGTCCGACGCGGCATCCATGGAGGGGGAAAACGTGGTATCCGTGGGATTGGTGAAGTGGGAAGGGCGCGAATTTGCATTAATAACATCATGTTTTCATATAGCCCCAGCGTTCCGACGCGACCTCCTTGGAGAGGCAACCCGTTGGATTGGTAGAGTGAGAGTTGTACGAAGTTGAGCGAGTAACAAAGTGTAAGTACGTACGCACAGTTTGGGCGGTCTGATGCGGAATTCTTCCTGGGGGTAACGTGGTATGGTTGAGTGGGAAAGGGAGGAACTCTGATAGACGACCTGGACCCGCGCAGTCCGACACGACCTCCGCGGACCGGGGAGAAGCGGCAAGTAATGTGGGGGGCGGGAAGGGCACGGACCTTGATAGACAACAAGGTATCCGATAGCCCACGCGGCCCGACGCGGTTTCGATGCAGGCGGAACGTATAATTGGTGCGATTTTTTTTTGTGGAAGATCACGAATTTGATGAATTCGGTGTGCACGTAGCCCACGCGGTCCGATGCGGCCTCCTTGAGGGGGGGGTATTGATGGTTGTTGTGGAGCGGGAAGGCACGAACCCCCATGTACAAGTTGTCCGCCTAGACTGCGCACTCCGATGCGGAATCATTTGAGGGGGAAGCGCGGCATTGAATTGATTGGTGGTATGGGATGGGCAAGATAACCTATGACTAACAGTGCATCCGCATTGTCCGCGTTTTCCGACGCGACTCCCCTACGGAGGGCATGTGGCGTTGGTGGAATTGGCGGAGTGGGAAAGGGCACATATTCCATAAAAAGCTAGGCGCACGCATTGCCCGCGCGGCTTGGAGGAGGAAGCACGTCATTGGCGAATCCTGTGGTATCTGCATAGCGCGCGCAGTCCGACGCGGCCGCCTTTCCTGGAGGGTGGAAACGCGCCAATGGCAGGACTTGCGGAGAGGAGCCAAAGCCCACGCGGCCCGACGGGGGTTTCTTCGGGGAAACGTTTGAAGTTGCAAGGTTGTGGGCTGGGAGGGGCACGAACCCCGATCTGCAACAGGTGCTGGTTGCGTTGGTGGGAATAGTGGTTCCGCTTCGTTATTGATAGGTTTGGGGTTTGGTGGGAGTGGTGGTATTCACCGGGATTTGATTTGTTGAATTCGAATCATGGGAGATTCATTCAGGAGGTGGGAGTCGTGCAGCGCTGAGTACATGCAGGAGGGGGAGGAACAAAAACAAGCAGGATATGTGTAACGTGTTGGGAGAAGTTAGATAATCCGATATTGTAGAAAAGCACGATCGAGAGAAGTATGTTTGTTCCCCACCCGATGCGCCGCTAAGTGCTGGAGCCACTGAAGGCCATCATGGGGGAACGTTTGGGTGTAGGTCGGCCCTTCGGGTGATTGGGTGGCGTTTTCAGAGGGATCATGAGTGTTTCTGGATTTGTCCACTGAGTTTATTGAGGCGATCTCTTGGAGTGCGAATCGCGACAGCGAACAAAACATAGAAGTAATCACAATTGTTTTCGGTGTGTTCAGTTTCCTTGGCGGCCGTATGGATAGACGCTGAGGAGACTGCTCGGGCTGACTGCGTGGAGGTTGTGGGAGGCTCCGTAGCAGGGCTGGACTCAGGTCGGGGTTGAGGCGAATATGCAGGACGGGGGGCTGTCCCGAAGTGCAATTTTGCGAGGCCCCATTCTAGTGCCAAGCTAGTAAGCCTTGCCTACGGCGGGAAGTTGCCTTAGGCGAATATTTGCCGGTTTATTCCCACCTTCAGAAATTATTAATCTCGGCCATTGGCCGAGGGTGTCCAGACCAGTGGCAGTTTGTCACCTACAATTGCAGCAATGCCAAGCTAACCCGGCAATGCTGACTTGCAGCAGGCGTCGCGTGAAGGTTCGACGATGTGATGTTGCGACGGAACGTGTATTGAAAAGGGTCAACGACGACGGTGGTGGCGTGAGAGACATAGGGTGAAAAGCAGTTTAAGCATACCAGAAGTGTCCAGTTTTCCGCTAGTTGTTCGTGCTTTTGTGAGGCGCCACGAGAGATATTCCCGAATTTGATCAGGTTTGGGCGCATGGGCCTGCAGCTTGGTCGGCCTAGCGCACGAGGAGTCCCAGTGTAGGCGGAGAAGAAGGATCCTTCAATCCTCCAAGATCGGACGACGCCAGCAGGTGATTCTCATTAAATTGTGTTTTTCGTTGTCGTTGTTGTGTTTTTATCCATGATGATGGGGATGCCCTCTCTTTATCTTCTCCACTTCAGCGCTCCTCGCTGTGCCCAAGCCAGGGGGTCCAGCCAGCCCCGTCAGTGCCGAGTCCGCAGCACTGTTGCCATTCAATGACAAATCGAATGGCGAGTTCTGAAGGTGGTCAGCTTGAAACACATGTGTGGAACTCACGATTTGTTCAGATGTTCTTCTGGAGTTTGAGCTTGTAGAGACGATTGGTGAGGGTTTGCGTCGGCCTACCTGCGCCCTTTCTTAGCGGTTTCGTCATTTCAGGCCGGACATCCACGCCCCAATCGGGCCAGATGTGTGCCTGTTTCGGGTGAGAGGCCTATCATTGCGGCGCAGTTCTTTTGGGGGTGTCGCAGTAGTTTTGCGCAGTGGGCGTTGCCAGCTTCTTCGCAGAATCGGAGTGGGTCTTTGTTTGCAAGGGTTTGTGTTTGAATACATTTGCATGTGCGCATTGGTTCTAATCCCATGCATCCCGATCCTAGCGCGCGCTAGACGACTCGCAGGGAGCCGTGGTTAGATCTGTGGCGAGCAGTCGATGGCAAATGTTGGCGCCCCATTTCCTCAGCACCCGCGTACAGCGCCGAGCCCAGGCACTACCCCGACCTGGTGCAGTACGTCAAGGCAGAGGGAGCGCAAGCAGGGCATACGAGATTGAACAAACTGATTTGGGAACTAGCATTCGACCACCTTTACAGAGGCAGTCTGCTCGTTCGGACTGACGCCCTTTCGGGGGATTCCGAGTCTTGACGAAGGTTGCAGCTTTCTGCAAAAGAGGTTGATTTTGGCGCGGGACCTCCTTGGAGCGAGGTTCAGATCGGTTAAGGACAGATATTGGCATCCACCCGAATCTGTTGTTAGAATCGGTTTCTGCGAGGACACATGTGACGGAGCAGTGGCGACGAACGGGGCCTCTTTTTGTTGAATAAATGGGAGAATGCTTGGACCTCGCAAGGCTCCCTTGCGCCGTCTTTGCAGTCGCCGCTCTCCGCAAGCTATTCTCCCTGGGATCAGCTTCGAGGCCTCTCCCGTCCTCTTCTGTTGCAGCTGCAATTCCTTGGTGTGGTGCGCCCTGCTTCTCACCGATGGCCATGGTGCTGCGGTTGGCCGTGGAATCTGCCCCAGGTCACGCTGCCCCATTGACCGTTGGCCTGCTCCACATGCGCATGCAGTGAAGCCTACATGCTTCGAATCGGAGGTCGACTACAGAATTGATTCACACCAGAATTAAATTGGTTTCGAACCCGCGGAACAAAACATATTGCGAAGGCCTTACGGCCGGTGCCGCCGACCCTGAAGGGAGACAATGACGACGACGACGCTGATGTGAGTCTCTTCGGGGCGCTCTCGGAGGCCTCTGGGGGGCAGTGCTGTGGCCTCTTGGGAGCATCTTGGGGGCCTCTTGGCAGCCTCTTGGGAGCCTCTTGGGGCTTCCTGGGGACCTGTTGGGGCCTCTTGGGGCCTCCTGGGATCCTCTTGGGGCCGAGGGCTCCAAATGTCTGTTCGGTTCCCCCGTCAGGGCACCCTGTTGGAGACTCTTGGGGCGCCGGCGGCCACTTCGGGGGTCTCGTGGAGAGCTCTTGGGGACTTCTTCGGGCTTCTGGGACCGCGCGGGGGGGAAGCATATCTGGATGGGGACCACCCCCCCGTGATGCCCCTGGGACCCCCCGCGGGGAAGGTATCAGGACGGGGTTTCCCCTCGACTCCACCGACGTTGCTCAATTTCGCTTTGGATGGCGCGCTTGAGGAGGAGGGCCCAGAGAAATGGAACGGAGGACGACGGAGACGACGACTCAAACAACACGTATCATGCCCGTCAATCCACGAACGTTCTTGCTTTCGTAGACTCGACGGGAAATGCTAGGGCGAATCAGCTGTGTAGTCGACCTTCGGGACACAGTTAATCGTCGATTCCCCAGGAAAATATGGGACAATGTGGGGAAGTGGGGGGGAAGACGACAAAGCAAACAGAAAATATGGGAAGATCTGGGGAATCCTGTTTTTCGTGTCTACTTATTTTGTGTCCCAGGGCCCCTTCAGATCTCCGAATCGACCATTGGCCCTTGGCCTCCTCCGCGTGCGCATGCAGCGTAGCCCCCGTGCTCCGCCTGGGCGAGCGAGGGCGCGCAGAGCCCGCGGCGCGCAGACGACGGAGCCCCTGGTGGCCGACGTCGACGAGGCCGCGGGCCGAGGCTCTGGCCAGCCAGGCGCGGGGGGCTGCCTCCTCCCCCTCCTCCTCCTCCTCCTCCTCCACCTCCTCCTCCTCCTCTTCCTCCTCCTCATTCTTCTCCTCCCTCCTCCTCCTGCTGCCTCCTCCTCCTCCGCCTCCTCCTCCTCCTCCTCCTCCTCCTTCCCCTCCTCCTCGTCCTCCTCCTCCCCCTCCTCCTTTTCCTCCTCCTCCTGCTCCTCCTCCTCCACCTCCTCCTCCTCCTTTTCCTCCTCCTCCTCCTCCTCATTTCCTCCTCCTCCTCCTCCTCCTCCTTTTCTTCTTCCTCCTCTTCCTCCTCCTCCTCCTCCTCCTCCTCCTCCTCCTCCTCCTCCTCCTCCTCCCTCCTCCTCCTCTTCATCCTCCTCCGCCTCCTCCTCGTCCTCTTCCTCCGTAGCCATTTTGGCTCAAGCCATTTTGGCTCAAGTGTGATTGGGGTGATCGCACCTGAGCGGGCAGCTCACTGCAGTGGGCAATCCGGGTGTCGTGCCCGAGCGGACCTTTCTCTCTCGCTTTTCTCCCACCCGTTCTCGTGCCATGGCGGGCTCTGCGGCTGAGGCTATGGAGCGTGGTGGCATCAAAGAGCTGCTTCTGAAGATGGACTCCATGAACTCCAGCTTCACCGAGCAGTTGGCAGGCATAAACACGGCCATTGCGGAGATCCCCACCATCAAGGCTCAGTTGGTTGATCAGGCGGCCAAGAACGCTGCCCTTACCGAGCGGCTGGACAAGCTCGAGGCCCAGGGCGTCGCGTCTGTCGCTGAGGGGAAGCTTCTGGCGAAGCTCGAGCTCCTGGAGACACGCGTGGGCAGCCTCTCTACTGCGTCTACCTCTAGCGCAAGCAGTGTACTTTCTTATGGGCACGCATCCAGCGGTGCCAAACGTGCTCGGTCTGAAGGACCTCCACGATTCGGTCGTCATGACGATGCAGTTGAGCATCCTCTCGTGACCGGTGCAAGATTTGGGTCAGTGGCTTCGTTTCTCCGATGCTTGGCTCAATGCTTGAGGAGCACGGTAAGCATTTGCTCGGCCTTCTTCCGTCTCATCACACCGTGGGCGCCACCATTCGAGGGTACAACCTCAACAAGTCTTACAGCATCAAGTTTGCCAACGAGCAGGCTGCAGCCGCCTTTGTGGACCATTACCGCACAGCAGGCATCCAGTACCAGGACCAGGCCACCAACTCCACCGTCAACCTGCGCGTGCGGTTCGACGCTCCCGCCGAGATCCGTATCAAGAACAAGTACCTGGGCAGGCTCTGGCAGGCGATCACCGCGGCCATGAAGCGCGACGGGAAATGGAAGACCGACTACTCCATCGGGTCCAACGGCTTCACGGGCATCCTGTACATGAAAGTAGGCGAGTGTCTGTTCGTGCTGTTCGAGCTCATCGCTACGGACCGCAACCAGTTCGAGTGCAAAGCCAACTCCGACAATCTCTCCAAGTTTGGCATCGACGCTGATGCCGCGACTGCCATGATCGCAACCTCGATGGAATAGGACGCTCCCCTGTTCGAACCGAGGACTGCCGAGTCTCCCGCAGTCAAGGGTCACCTGCCGAGCAGCACCGATGAGAGTTGCATGATCATCGAGAGCTCCTCTGACAGTGGTTCCTCTTCCTCTTCCTCTCCTGCCCGTCCAGCCCGTCTTCTGCCCGCAGTGCCTGTTCTTTTCCTGACCAGCCCTTCAATTTCACGCAGTACTTCTCTGCCGTAACGTGGAATGTGCAGACTCTCTTCGGACCCGTCTCGTCGCCGATTCAGCCGATCGTCAACGTGGTGTCGAAACTTCGCCGTCTCACCCCGAAACGCGCCATTATCGCTCTTCAGGAAACGCACGGGCCCCAGCAGGACCTCATGTATCTGAAAATGGAGATCGAGGGTCTGCACGCGTACGGCCTTTCTTCTTCCGTGGCATCAAAGGTGGTTGCGTTTTTATTCTCAATCCTCGCTTTGCTTCGCTCTCCCCTCATATTCGGCACCGTGTTGTTCGGAGGGGCCGAGTTCACGAACTCTTGCTGCAGGGGCGGCTTGTCACTGTGCAAATCATCAATGTTCATCTTGACCCCAGCCTTCCCATCTCCGCTCGTCAACGCACATTTCGTTCCATCAAGTCGAGGGCCCTTTCATCCTCCTCTGGGACCTCCTTCGTCATGGGCGACTTCAATTTCTGTGCTCTTGGGGAGGGGCGCACGAATATCGGTGGGGAGCATACTTATCACACTCATGGGCTCGCAAAATATTTCGCCCGCCTCTTCCCTGGGTTCGCCGAAGTTTCTCAGCCTGCACGCGCGCATGGGCGCACCCAGATTCACGACAATGTTCGGTCTATTCGGTCCGTGGCGCGCTTAGATGGGATCTACACCAACATGTATAGCGCGCCCCTGATCGACCGACAGGCTAACTCGCTCACGCTCGCTGCGGCGTGCGACTTGGAGTGGCCCTCCGACCATGTTCCTGTCTGTCTCTCGCTCTCCCCCTTCCAGGCCTCGGGGACTCCGCGGATTGCATCCTGGGTTTGCCGTCGTCCTGCTTTCCCTCGGGCGATTCAACAAGTTTTGGATGTGGTTCCTCCTCTCTCTCTCTCTCTCTCTCTCTCTCTCTCTCTCTCTCTCTCTCTCTCTCTCTCTCTCTCTCTCTCTCTCTCTCCTGATCCCGCTCTTGCCGTTCGTGAATTTTAAAGATGTTATCCGAGCCGCCGCCAGGCTTGTCCGAGAAGAGCTCGAGCAGAGAGAGGCGGAATCGTTGCCTGGGCGCTCGCTGCTCATCGCGCGATGCAGTCGGGGCCGCCTTCTCGAATTCGGAGAGCGCTGCGAGCCTACCCCTACCTGTCTCGCTTCATAGATGTCTCCGACCTCGTCTGGAAGGACATGTCTGGCTTCTATGTCTGGCTGGATCAGCTTGCAGCTAGCAATGTCAAGGCACAGATTGCCGAGGTCGACGCAGACCCGCACATGCACCCTAATACCAAGTCCTCTTCCAAGCAGCGTCTTCACGAATATATTTCGGCCTGGTCTGGAACTAATCGGCGTATTTCCCTCACCGGTGTCGCGGATCCCTCGGGCGAACATAATTTGGGATCCGAAAATCGTCGCTGACCGTCTCGCGGAGCACTGGGGCAAAATGCACGGCTTGGAAGAGGGCTCTTCGGACGCACGTGAGCAGTTAAGGCCTTATGTTGTTCAATGTCCTGGGCGTATTCCATGGGGGATCTGTTTTGACGAGTTCTGCGAGCGCGCCTCCAAGGTTCGGGATCCCGGAGTTGGCCCCGACGGTATTCCTTATTCGGGATGGACCAAATCAGGAACCACTGGCCTTCGACTGCTCCACGCACTGTATCTTTCGCTGCTTCGGGGTGGAGCTCTGTCTTGCGATTTCAACTTCTGCCGAGCGATCTTCCTTGCCAAGGGCGTGGAGGACGATGATCAGTCGGTGGGGGTTTTCCGCGCGCCCGAGGTCACTAGGCCGATCTCTCTCTCCAACAGCGACAATAAGCTGATCTCTCGGACTCTGAGTTACTCCTTCTCCGACCTGTGTTGCGAAACGGCGATTGGCGTCCAGAGGGGCTTCGTCAAAAATCGGAACATGAACGACAACATTTTGACCCTGGAGTCTTGGGCTCTTCAATGGCATTGTCAAATGGGTCTCAGTGGTACTGCTTTCGCCTTCTTCGATGTTCGAGCCGCGTTTCCCAGCTTACTCCATCCTATGATCTGGTGGGTCTTGGGCGCCACGGGAGTTCCTGCGTTCATCGTCGACGCTGTGCGTAAGCTTTACCATCGTGTGTGGGTTAGCATCAACTTCTGTGGTCTTCAAGAGGCGGGGTTCTGGGCTCTCCGAGGTATTAAGCAAGGCTGTCCTCTGTCGGGCTCGCTGTTCTGTCTTGGGTTCGACCCGATCCTTCGCTACATGCAGTCCCTTTTGCCCCCGCAGCTAGGCGTTCTGGGAGTCTTTGCTGATGACACAGGCATCGCCAGCTCCGACGTCTTCGCCACATTAGCTTTCGCGCTGCCCGCTTGGGACCTCGCAGGCCGTGCTGCTGGGCTCCATATGAATGTAGCCAAGACCGTCATTGTCGTGATTCATCCCATGTCGTACCACGATTTCTGTCAGCGTCTCCAGCAGCACGGTATCTCTCAGGAGGGAATTACTTTCAAGCGCGCCGCTAAGTATCTGGGCGTCGTTGTCGGGCCTGGTGGCGCACAAGAGAGCTCGATCGCTCCTGCCACGAAATGCATTGACCGAACAAGGAGCATTCAGGGGCTTGGGCTCGGTTTGCTGAAGTCGGTTGCCCGTTGCAACATGCATGCCCTCTCCGTCCTGTCTCATGTCTCCCAGTTCTACTTCCCTTCCGACTTTGCCAAGTCCATCGAGAACCAGTCCCTTCAACTTCTCTCCAATGGCCCCCGAAACGCCATCCCGTCCGACCTCATTCGGAATCTCGACTCCCTCGGCTCCAAACTCGGCGCTCGGGAATTTGAATGTGCTGCTCGTGCTGCCATGTTTCGAGCTGCGACCACATCCAGTGCCTTCCACCAGGCGGTCAAGCGCTTGTCTGAATTCGCCCTCTCAGACGAGTGCCAGATCACGCATGCATGGAATGATTGGTGGAAGAACAGTGTCACGATTTCGATGTGGCGGAACTATGACTTCATGAATCAGATTCCCAGGATTCCTGTCTTTGGTGATCGGAGGTTTCAACACAAAGCTGAGCGGGTTCTTCTGAGTCGTAGGGGATATTCTCCGCATCAGTTATTGCATGATAGCTTTCGGCATTTCAACCCAGAAACTTCCAGGGCTGACGTTGACCAGGTGTTTTGGTTTTTGCTCCGTGTCGCTGGCGCTGCCCCCTCCTTCCTCGCCTCCTCTTGCCTTAAAACTGTCAGTAACGCCTGGTGCACCTCGGGTCGGTTTCGAGGGCCGACTCGCGACTGTCCCTTTTGTCAAGCGTCGTGTCAGGACACTCTCATGCATGTCATTTGTTGCGACGTCCTCGCGCGCTCAGTGCGTTCTCGTCTCCCCTTCCTTCCCAATGGAGTTGAAGATGCGAGGAGCGTAGTTTGTGCGTTTTCCCTGTGTTCCTTCTTCTTCTTCGCAGTTGCTTTCTCTTGCTCTTTACATTGACACCATGCACAGTGTTTACCATAGTCTGAAGGGCGCAGGACAGGGGATCGCAGCATTCCAACGTGCTGCTGCCGCCCGCCTGCGGCAAACGGCCAGGCGCGCCCCCACCCTCGCCCCGTTTCTTCGCTCCAGGCCAGGTGATGGACGGTCGTGGGCTCTCCCTCCCCTTCGCTTCGTGTCCGCTTGCCCTCTTCTCTTGTCCCTTGCTCGTGTCGTGTCCGCTTGCCCCCCTTTCTATGGCCTTGCCCTCCTCCTCCTCTTCCTCCTCCTCCTTCCCCTCCTCCTGCCTCCTCCTCCTCCTCCGCCTCCTCGTTCTTTCCTGCCTCCTCCTCCTTCTCCTGCTTCTCTTCCTCCTCCTCCTGCCTCCTCCCCCTCCTCCTCCTCCTCCTCCCTGCTCCTCCTCCTCCGCCTCCTCCTGCTCCTCCTTCCCCTCCTCCTCCTCCTCCTCCTCCTCCTCCTCCTCCTCCTCCTCCGCTGCCTTGGAGGGCTCAGACGGCGCGGATGGGGCGCCGGCGCGATTCGTGTGTAGAGCTAAACGCAGCGCAGACACAGGTTTTCGAATGTCCGCGCGGATTCCTCGGATCGGCGTTGGCCCCCCATTGGCGGCGCCTCCGGTGCCAGCCCCTGGTGCGCTCCACATCCCTGGTCGTCGTTCGCGGCCTAACACTCGCGCGGCTTTCGCGCTTCAGGGTCCCAATGATTGCTCGTCTCCTCAGACTTCAATGAGCGGATTCCATAGCGGACACTCGCGCCTGTTTTTGCTTCGGGTTGAGTGACGGTGTTCTTCGGTTGGACCTTCCCCTTGCCGTGCCCCCCCACGGGTTCCACGTGCGGCTCCGGCCTACTGCTTGGCCTGAGATCCAAGGACCTGCACTTCGGCACGCACGCGCGGACCTCCATGGCCTGCGTGTGGCCCCCTCGCCCCTCCCGGGCCTCTCCGGCCGCCTCGCGCTTCAGCGCGTCCTCTTCTCCTCGTGCCTCTCTGGCGCGCCCCGCCGCTGCTCGACAGCCGTCCGACCCTCCTGCGGCCGCGGACCAACAAAAAATTGCAGGTCACCGGGCGACGCCAGCAGAAGCTGCCGTTGCCGGGGGTGGCCAAGGCGAGGGGGATGGCTCCGAGGGGGTGGGCATCGTGGCTGGGGCCGCGGCGTTTCCCTGGAAGACCCGGGCCATGATTTGCGGTTGTTTCCCTGGACGCCCCCCTTGTAACCGCTTCCGATGTTGGACAGGCTAGGCAGTCGCGCGCGTGCTGCCCGCGGCACTCTCGGGCGTGAGCGGCCACGTGAACAAGTGGTCTGCCGCATTCGAGTTGTGCGCACCACGCTAGCAGTGGCAACAGATAAACGAGCACGTTGGGTTTGAGCACGCGTAGCCAGTGTGCCCTTCGGTCACCATGTTGACAGCCATCTAGTAGTTCGATTCCTCCACAATCTGTCCGTGCGCTCCTACGTCGCTCTTCATGCCATCCCCGGGAAACAAGACGGGACGGTTGCACGTGCCGCTCGCCGAAAGGACGATCGTTCCCCAATCAGAGATTGCTTTCGGGCACTTGACCGGCGGTATTTTGGTCCTTCGACGGGTGTGCTGGAGTTTCGCATTGTGCTTTGTCGGTGCCCTTTCGAGGCGCCCCGTGTGTTGCTGGGGTTTGCTGGGGTTTCACCTGGTTCCCGTCCGTGGGCGCATCTTGAGCGTTCCGTTCGTTGGGCGCACCACATTGTGCATCACAGATATTTCACCACACAGCTTGCAACGCACACCTTGCACATATTGCGCCGCACACTCGAGTGCACCACATAGCTTGCAACGCATAGAGCTATTGCACCAGTCACACGGCGCAACATATATTGCACCACGTATACTACTACACCTAGTTGGCACCACATAGATTGTACCACATGGGTTGCACCACATAGCCATAACTTGTTCCATAAAGCTTGCGCCACGTCTAGTGCACCACATAAGTTGCACGACATAGCTTGCACCACGCAGGTTGTACATCACATGTTGTTTCCATCCAGAGGAAAGTAACGCACTGTTTGGGTGCCCACGCTGGCGAACGTTTGCGCTGCGAGCGGCAAACATCTCCGCTGTGACGAGAAACGCCGTTTCGGAGCCTCTGGCAGACCAGTTCCTCGCAGCACTGGCGCTGGCTATTCGCGCAAGGGTTATGTTATGTTACGTTCGGATACATCGTAGGAATGATGCGTTGTGCGATGTCATACGTTATGCGTTTTTTTGGTGCGCCTCGCCATGATTGGTTATAGAACGCCATGCTGCGCCATGATATTCGACATATGGCAAGACCAGCAATGATGTTCAATGCAATGGTATAGTATGTCGTTCAGTACTGCACGAGGCTGCCACACAATGGTATTATGCCAGGCGGCATTGTGCTACGCACTCGTGTATTGTAGTATGCGTTGCAATGCAAGGCACCTCACGGCGTAGCAGTTCAGTGCATCGCGTTTCATACATTTCACATCTAGTTTTCAGCAAGCAGAACACGAATCGGGATATCGCTGAGCTCATTGCTTCTGCATCGGCATCGTGGGTACCCGCCCCCGTTGATTTCGTTGCTTCGCACCTGTCCGCCCAGCGCCACCACCGCGCGTGGACGTTGCCAAGATGGAGCAGGCCCGTTTCCGGCCCCGTAGTTCTTGCCTTCCTTTTTGTGCGTTGTGCCAGTGGAGGGAGCAGTTCTCGGGTCGTCTTCCGTGAGCGCATGAGGTGTTTGAGGCTCTTCGGTTGCCAAAACCGTGTTGCGACAAAGGTTGTCAAGTGGTGTGGCGAGGTTCCCGATGCCTGTAGGACAGGACCACCTGACACTGCTAGTGGGATTTTCCAGACAGCCGAGCTAAAGAGTGAAAGCTTGTGGACCGTAGCCTAGTTTGATGCGGTCTTACATTACAAGTACCCAAGTCGACTCGCTATATCGTCAGCTTCGGGGCCCGCATCGCCTGCACCTGCGTCGAGAACGCTGAACGTGAGAGTGTGGAGGTCGAGAATAGACATATTCTAGACGTTTCGCGTAGCCCCACCAGCCCATCCAGAAAAGGTGCGCAGGCGAGTTGCCCAACTCAGACATGTGGGGGAGCACGCAGTGTAGAAGGCTGGAAGGCGTCATACCCGATGAGGGTGAGGATGTAAGAAGGAACCAGAGGAGGAGGGGGAAGGGGAAGGGAGGAGGGAGGAGGAGGATTACAAGGATGAAGAAGAGGAGCATGAACAGGAGGAGGAGGAGGAGGGCGTACAGAACGGCCAGGCCTCTTGGATGCTTCTCGGAGTCGCTTGGGATGCCTCTCGAAAGCTTTTTGCAGGCCTGTTGGGGCGTCTTGGGGGCCTCTTGGCGGCCTAGGGGGCCTATTGAAGTGTCTTGAGTGCCTCTGGGGAGCCTTTCTGGGCCTCTCTCGAGGGTCTCTTCGGAGCCTCTTGGGGACCTCTTGGGTGTACCTTGGGGGCCACCCCCTTGGCGCCTCGTGGGGGACTCTTGGGAGCCTTGGGTGCCATCTCGGAGGAGATCGATCTAAGCAGGGTGAGTACTCAATGAGGCCCCCCCCCCCATAGGAGGCCAACATTGGGCCAAAACCTTAGTGAAATTAATGATTGGGCCTCTCGCCGAGACCGTCTTGGACGCTTTAACTACCCGCGCCCTCCCCCGTTCAGGTCCAGGGGGATGGGGTTCGGGAGGTGTCAGGCTTCCCTCCTAGATAGTAGTAGGCCGTCTAGCTCACTCCCACCCGCCCTCCCAACACAGAAGTAACACCCGAGTGTCAGCAGATCGTTCAGGAATGCCGCACATGCCATGCGCGCCACGGGTTCCAGGTGCACCAGGCTTTCTGAAGGCCCAAGCATGCCAGGTGTGGCACGTGCTCCACGTGCGTCAACTGTGCCACGTGCTCCAGCCGCGCCAGGTGCGCCAGCTACGGGGAACCAATAGGGACCCCAGGTGCTAGGGGCCCTGGCCACTGGAGTTCAGGATCTCGAATCCCCCTGAAGCGAAGTGCTGAGCATTCTGTGACAAGGGCGGCTCTTCCAGGGAGCGCAAAGCACCAGCACCGATGGACTAGTTGTGACATCTTGAGGAGACGTGAAACCGATGAGAGCTCAGAGAAAAGAGCGCTTTGCCCATGCTCCCGATTTGCAGCCAAAGAGTACGCTTGTATTGCTTTGCTGACAGGGATGGTTGGCCTGCGCGCCGAAAGCAATATGCCGACACCCCTGCAGCCCCCTGTCAACAAACAATGCAAAGTGGTCGCGGGGCGCCCGCGCATGCGCCAGATTTGGAGGCAAAGTGCATGTTGTATTGTTCTTTACATGAGATGGTGTGGGGGTGCTCGTTGGTCGGGGTTGCCTGCCCGCCGTCGCCTGTGGGAGGGGGCATTGATTAATAGGGGGCATATATAAACCCTTCCCAGAAGGGGAAAACGGAGGGGTCACCTGAAACACTCACGCCATAAAAAAGGGCTGGTGGGATTTGTTTGTCTTGTACGTGGCAGCTCGAAGGGGAGGGGGAGGGGGAACAGGGAGGAGGGAGGAGGAGGAGGCGGAGGAGTAGGAGGAAGGCGAGCAACATCGCCAGAAGCCTCTTGGATGCCGTTCGGAGTCTCTTCGGATGCCCCTTGAAAGCTCCTGGAGTCCTCTTGGAGCGTCTTGGGGGCCTCTTGGCAGTCCAAAGGGCCTCTGAGAGCGTCGTGGGCACCGCGAGAGAGCCTCTTGGAACCCTGTCGAGGGTCTCTTCGGAGCCTCTTGGGAACCTCTTGGGGGCCTCTGGCAGCCTCCTGTGCGCCTCTTGGGGCGCTCTTGGGGCGCTCTGGGGAGCCTCGGAGGCCATTCTGGGGCCATCCCGGAGGATATCGATCAACGAAGGGGGATGGATTTCCCCCCCCCCCCGGGAGGCCAAAACGGGTCAAGAACCTCAGTAAAACCAATGATCTGTGCCTTCTGCCGAGACCGTTTTGGACGCTTCAATGGATCGCGAAACGCCCCGTCCAGGGGTTTTTGGAATTGGCCCCTTCGCGATGCGAAATCTAAAAAAAAACAGCGCGCAAGAGCAGGGTGCGCTCGAATGCGTGGCCACATCGTTCACCTATGACTGAGAGCGGTCGGGCGCGATGACAGCCCCAAACAGTTCCTCCGAGCGGCCAGGAAAAAAGAGCTGAGCGTTCACCCTAGAGCAACGCAAGGCCGCAGGCGAGTCCCTCCGCACGGCTCACTCAAATAACGACACCCCCCCAAGTGCCGACCCAAGCCTCCGCTTGCCTCTGCAGGTCGGGACCTTGGAACTCCCTCGGGCGGACAAGCGGGTCACCTGGCGCGAGACTGACTGGAGCCCAGAACCACCCCCGCAGGTCCCCTTGCCCAAGGGGGACCATGTGGCACGCATCCGTGAGCCTCCCCCGACCACTCTTTGGTGCGAGGTGACCCGAGTGCTGAGACTGGCCCTGGGGCGGACAGGACCCCAGGCGTTTAGCGAACAGCACCCACCGCCCCCCGCCAGTGGGTGGTTTTTCGCGGCAGGTGAGGCCGTACCCTGAGGGTCACGCTGCCCCCCTGGCCCGAGCGGCCAAGCGGGACAGCCCGACCCCCCAGGACCCGACCCTACCCGCCGCGGCGCCCCGAAGGACGACTGAGCGGGTGTTAGTTCCCCCGGGGCCCCGACGTGACGCCCACACACCGAGGCAACCCTCCGGGGCCAACGCCCCGTCCAGGGGGAGGGAGCAGGGGGAGGGGTAAACCCTTCCACGCCTGCGCCTTCGCTGACAATACTGAAATTGAGAGTGTGGAGGTAGAGAACGGAAGTGCATACTTTCCAATGGCAGACGTAACGTTCAGTTTTTCCAGAAGTTGATGGCGTTGGCTGGAGCCGCCGACGGCACTCTGGTCGTTCCCTGGTCGCGAGCGTCGACAGAGCACGAATGGGGACGTTGGCGTGTTAGGTGTGGCATCTGCCTCCGCGTATGTGCTCGATGAGGCCATTGGAGCGCAGCTGCACGCGCCTGAAATGATTCTGCGTCTCGATGGCCAGGTGATGGTGGCCCCGTGTATGTGCGTCGCATGACGGCATCACATCGAACTGCATTGCCCTCCAGTGTCTTCGAGATTTTCTGCTCTACCTGAAGGTAACAGGTTGGCTCAGATTCTATAGTTCTGGTTGTTGTCACCAGGCCCGCTTGAGGAGGTGGCAACATGCTCGGTCGAAGCCCATCTGATGTTTGCCGTGAGTTGGAGTCGGCTGTTCGGAGCGTCGTCCAGTGACAAGGTGGTGTTTCTGTGGTTGGATCCACTAGAGCAAACGACTGGGCGCCTGCGGATGTGAGAGCCCATTTTGAGCGCCATCCAGCCACAGCCTTTGAAATTATCCAGTCGATGCCTAAACTATTCCGTAACGACCCCTGCACATTCGAGAGATGTTGGTCCATCGCGTATGCGGCAATCGTTGTTGAACGCAAATGTGTGTGTTTGGTAATTGCATGAGAGGTTCAATTGGTTCGTTGGTTGTGTTTTCGAAGTTATCCGATGTCTCATTCGATACGGCCGTCTCGGGTCGAACCCATCACGGGTGTGGTTCGGAGAAGCAGCATCACACATGCGCCCAATATTCAGAGGTTTGAAGGGCATGGTGTTTCTTATTTCCGTGTTAGACAAGGTTGCAGTGCATTGCATTGGCCGAAGGGGCATCACGCATTAGTCAGTAGTGCAATACCGAGCAGCCCATGGATACGCATGCAAATAGAAACATACACCCGTTGTGCGATAGTTCATGAGTTTCATGTAGTATGGTGTCATTCCTCCTCCGTAACGACCCCTGCACATTCGAGAGATGTTGGTCCATCGCGTATGCGGCAATCGTTGTTGAACGCAAATGTGTGTGCTTGGTAAATGCATGAGAGGTTCAATTGGTTCGTTGGTTGTGTGTTCGAAGTTATCCGATGTCTCATTCGATACGGCCGTCTCGGGTCGAACCCATCACGCGTGTGGTTCGGAGAAGCAGCATCACACATGCGCCCAATATTCAGGGGTTTGAAGGGCATGGTGTTTCTTATTTCCGTGTTAGACAAGGTTGCATTGCATTGCATTGGCCGAAGGGGCATCACGCATTAGTCAGTAGTGCAACACCGAGCAGCCTATGGATACGCATGCAAATAGAAACATACACCCGTTGTGCGATAGTTCATGAGTTTCATGTAGTATGGTGTCACCCTCCTGTGGTGTTGTTTCCGCATGTTACCACCATCGGTACACAGTGGTCCTTCCTCCGTCCATATCACAGGTCTTCATCACGCCTCGTCCGCATTATCTGCCAACGTACGGAGTTCCGTTTTCGAGATTAGCGCGATTTGCACATTGATTGTTAGCGTGCGGGTTCCACATATAATCATGTTTAGCGCAGTTGTTCAATATGCTTCTTTTTGTGGGCGGTGAACGCGTGTATGTCCAGTGTACTGGTCGCAACTCGAATCCCGTTGACACGGGGTCAATTCTTATGGGAAATTACATCTTGAACTCTATTGTGTGGAGGTGCCTCCATCCCCAAACGGGTTGTATTACAGGCGATTCCCTCTCTCATTAGGTTCTACCAGAGGTGGATCGCAGCCACCTCCAACCGAATCTTATGAGAGGTAGATCCATCTCCTAATACGACCATATTAGAGGTGGCTCCGTTCCCAATGGAATTCAAATAAAGGTATATCCACTTCCCTGGTCGCATTGTATTCCGAGTGGTTGCATCCTGGACAGGAGTCCACTGGACATGGATCCACCTCTACTTGGGTTGTAGTAGTGGTGGGCCAACCTTTACTTGTATTCTTAATGCGCGAATCCATTATTGTTCGGGTTCCTTTTACAGGTGGGCCCGCCTCTCATAGGATACTATCAGAGGTGAACCCTTTCCTTGATAGGATTTTATAACGGATTGAATGCTCATGTGTATGACTCTGTTTGAGGTGGGTTCATTTCTGATATAATCTTTTTAGGGATCGAGCCGCTTGGGATGTAATTCTGCAAGGTGGATCCGCTTCTACTTGAATGATTTTGGGAATGGAGCCAGGAGGCCACGGCCTCGCCCAGCAGGTCTTAGGTAGTTCCGGACGGCTGTCCGCTTTGGTGACCGCTCGTTCGTTGGGAATGGAGCCATTTTCTAAAGAATACAATTCGGGATTGATCCACCTCTCATTGGGAGGCTGCGACCCACCTCGTAACATAACCTGATTAAAAGGCGCGGCCGCCTATAATAGAATCCTTACATGGATGGAGCCCCCCCACACGATATAATTTAACATGTAATTCGCCCACAAGGAACCCTAATGTAAAGTCGCACGCAGGGGATGTGTAATCCACATTGCGCATCAACTTGTAAATCGTGCCACCTCGGATGCATTTCGTTCAGGGAAGGAGCCGGTTGTAATATAATCTGGGATGGAACCACGCGTATTAGATCCCATGAAAGGTGGATCCACCACGGTCATTTTTCTTTTTGTTTTGATTGTTCCGGTCGGTCCAATTTTTTTCCAGCTCTCTTTTAAAAGGATTTGTTTGAGGGGGGTGATTTTCAGATAGTTGTCTTTACTTTGTGTATTACAAATGGAATCGATGTGTGCGACTTGTTAATCGAATTCCGAATCAGGGCGATTGACAAGGGATTATGTTGTGGCGACTTGCAAAACGAGCGAAGAGGCTGTCCCACGGGAGTCCCATGCCACCTATTTGTCTTCGAGTTCATTTAATGTTTTTTCTTATCCTTTTCATCAAAAAGGCTCAGATATTCAGAACGCTCTTTCCTGCGAGCGTGACGGTACCACGCAGGCAATCTCGATCGGGGTGAGGTTTTGTTTGGGCCACAGTCTGGATTCGGGGCGGACTAGCCATGGTGCCCTCGCTCTGGTCTAACTTCCATCCGCCTCCACCATTCCATCGGGTGGCGCGCACGAAGAGGCAATTGCTGGCTATCCCCAAACATTCGATGTTCAATGGGTTTACGCTGTTTCCAGCCCGTTTCGACTGAGGCTTCGTCAGCATCTTTGCTTCGTGGAGGTCGTGCGCAAGTAGGTGATCAGAAGCATGCCCAGCAAGAGGAGGACATGGAGGAAGATGAGGTGCAGTGATGGCAGCAGGAGGACAAACGCAACGAAGCTCCAGCAGGTCGTGCGGAATTTCAAGCAGAACTGGAAGAGGGAAACGGACCGCATCCATCAGCACCCGCCCGCCCACGAATTCGTTTGGACCCACGCACCCGGTCAGATGCAAGATCTTGTTCCACTATTTGGTTGTGTGTGACGGCCCCGTGGAGACAGGCGGGACGTCTTTTTTGTATTGGGCTGGCCTCCGGCCAGTGCCGCCGATCCAGGGGGGGTGAGAGCGAGCCGTCTTGGACATTGTGAAGGCCCAAGAAACGAATATGCCAAACATATACGTTTTCCCAAGGGAATGGGTCTATTTGTCAGTCTTGGGCATTCTTGGGAAGTGTCGTGAGGGATCCTGGGGACGTCTTAGAGGTTTCTGGAACTGTCTTCGGGGCATCTGGGGCGGTTCGAGCGATGCTTCGGCGATTCGGGGCCCTCTTGCAGTGTCTAGGGGGTCTCTGGGGCCTCTCTTGGCTTCCTCTTGGGCTGTCTTGGGCTGTCGGGGCTCCGGAAGTGGAGTTTTCTATACCCCCCTGTCCCCGGGTACCGAAAAACGTCGGAAATGACGTTGGAAATATCCCCGTGTAGCGAAACACATCGGAAATGACATCGGAAATAACGTGCGCCCCCCCCCCCCCCCTGCAGAGCGGAGCGTGAGCGAGCTCAAGTCCACGCTCTCAGAAACTCACACGCCTGATCGGCGGATTTCTCTCAGACCTGCGTTCTTCCTCCCTCCTCCTTGCCCCAACCTCCATGTCTTTCTTACCCACGTCCACACAGTCCTTGCTTCTCATGCTTCAGTCAGGACCGTGAAGCCAGACGTTTAAAGCACGTCGACGCAGTCTTTGTTGGCAGCATCGGGCCCACATGTTGTCATTTTGTATGATTGCTTCTGCGCAAGATTGATGATTGCCGATGTGCATACATCAGGGTATGGAAGCCTTGACCACTACATTTGCAGGAAGTTATGATGGACAAAAGCCGTCCCTCCCTACCTTAGCCTGGTCGTTCAGATGGTAGGGGCGGAACAATAAACAAAAAGACGAAAGCACATGTAATGCAAAGAACGTGCGGAGACAAAGAGGTTTGAAGATAGCATCTGTGAGAAAGGCTGGGAGTGGTCTGCGCTACACTGATGGACGCTTCGCGTCCCCAGCCAGTCAGAGCTGAGCCAGGCCAGACAGCCGGGGCGGCGGAGGGCGCCATGTGGGTCCCATGGGGCATGTTGGAGGGGGTGAGGGGGGGGGGGGAAGCTGGGGGACCAGGGAAGCGGGGAGGGGGATCTTTTCCCACTCAAGCAATCCTGGCGGCCATGCTCGGTGAATAATCCTTTGGTGGCCTCTGTCCAGATCACAACGAAAAGCCACCCGAGCAGAGGTAACACATCCTCTGGCCCGTACCCACATACTTGATCTGTCACGGAGTACCTTTTGGAAGCGGCGCCCGTGTCCAGCGTGAACGGTACAACATTCTCTTCGAGGTCATGCCAGCAGCGTAGAACATCGAAGTTGGGACGGGGATTAAGGAGGGGGAGGGACGGAGAGAGTGAAGGGGATAGAGGTGCCAGCTTGAAAAGGGAGCTTTCATTGCAGAGGGGTCGCACTCCAGACTCTCTGGGGGGGGGTGCGCCATTGAGAGATTATCGGGGGCCCCCAAACGGGGTGAGTCGGTGGGGAGTCGGTGGGGATTGGGGTCACCGCTCTGTTTTGGGACTCGAGTCCTTCTCCGAGGATGTCTCGGGCGACAGGGGCCTCCAGGGTCCCAAGACCGTGCGGTGACGGACCGTGCGGTGAGGCGTGGGGGGATTTCGAGGTCACCGCACGGTCTGTCACCGCACCGCTTCGGGACTTCAAATATTGGCGCAGGGCATGCGTTGTTGTATCTTCTTGGCCACGAGTCGATGAAAGAGTTTGTTTGCGGCAGGTTGATTCACCAGGCGTTCCAAGTGAAACGTGTTGTGGTGAGGTACGCCAATCGTATCTTCTTTGTCCTCGCATGAGCAATGGGCCCACAAGTGCGCCTGAAGCGTTTCGTCTCTTAGTTGCCAACTGTTCGATGTGGTCTGATTGGATGGCTGCACAACTTCGGTTAGGTCTGTTACGGGCTGCTGAGACGTATGTATCATGTATGTTCGATCTTCTGTACAGGTACGTGATGGTGTCGTTCACGAATTTCAGCAATGGGATGGAGATTCTGAAGCAGGTCTTGACACAGCTCCTGCTCTACTACACCCGGTTGCAGAAGGCCATGTGTTTCCACACGCCGTCATGTCTAATTCGTTCTCTACTTGAGAAAGTACAAGAGCCAACCACCATAACCAATTGTTTGGCGTTTTCCCTACTATCTTGTGGTGTTGTGTCCTCGCTTTGAAGAGGCAGTGCCCCGAATCTCCCTCTCCCCCCCTTCCTTCCTTGCATGCCGGCCTGTGTTCCCCGCATGCCACCCAGTTCGGCACCCCGCATGTTTCGTGCCCATCATATAGAGCTCCACCGAAGGCCCCAAGGGGGTGTACCACATGCGGCCGCTCCACCAATTCCAGCACACCACTCACAAGTCTCGTGGCCCCATAGGGAGCTCCACCGAAGGCTTCGTGGTGGTGTACCACATGCGTCCGCCCCACCGTCGAGCGTCCTCGGGACTCGGGAGTCAGCACGGATGGCGAGCAAATCGATTCGCCTGCGTGTGCCTCTGCTGTTGCCTTCGCCTTGCCCGGCTTCCACTTATCCGATTCCACGTGGGTATTGTGTTCGGCTCAAGCTCCTTGGCCATCGCACACTCACCATGACGTCTGGAGCCCCATCAGACAGTCTAGTGCAAATGCAGCTGGTGGCAAACATATCTTGCCGATCAGCGGATGCTTTTCACGGTGTGCCGACACAGCGGGGATAGCGATCACCAGCCATCATGGAGTGGACCCCCCCCCAGAGATCGAGGGCCCATGGTGTCAGCACGGAGGGCGGTACACTGAAGGTGTCCGAGCACGTACGCAGCCAGCCCTTGCAAGACGGCGTCGCCGCGTGGTGGGGAAGGTGCCACAGTGTTCAAGCAAGCTTGTTGTCATCGTCGTCGTGGCAACGGAGTTGTGCAGATGCCGCACCTTGTTCGGGCTGGTCAATGTCTTGCGGAGCGGCTTTTGGAAGGTTCAGGTGCCTGTTTCGCGGGAGGAGCAAGTTGTTCGTGACAGGTGCTCGTGAGCTTCATGCGCAGGCATGGTGTCAGGCCTTCGCGTGGAGGAGCTGGAGGTGATCGAGGAGGTCGCCTGGAGGTCGGCGAGGAGGGCTCAGAACCGAGCCTCGTCAGCCTCCTTTAGGCACTTCCAGGAGTGGATCGCGTCCCTGCAGAGATAGGGAACGGCGCGCAGGTCCATCAAGGATTTGGCCCCAGAGCAGGACGGGTTTCACATCGAACAGTAGGCGCACCCCGTTGACATCATCGACCGCCAGATTGGCAAGTGGTAGTACCTGCGAAATTCTTCGCACACAGGCTTCGACGAGATCATGGGGGCATGCGACATGATGACGGAGAAGCATGCGCAACTCGCTCAGCTCGAACCCCTGCCTATCGAGGGGATAAGGAGCGCGGCATCACGCATGCAGCCCCGCGCGGGCATGGGAGTTGAAAATCTCACCACTGGATTTCGCAAGGCTGCCAGATCAGGCGATCTTGGAGCTGAGCGGGCTGTTCAAGATGATTGGGGAGGGCTCTGTTTGGGCCTAGCCGGTTCTTTGTGCACTCGGTCGTTTGCTCGACGAACAGTCGGGTGGAGATAGTTACACCGGGCGGCTCGACCTGGCTCGCCGGGCATGGTCGTTCGCCCGTGAACCGCTCGTTCGGGAGTGGGCATCCCAGCAGGGCGACTACTGGGGCGCGGTCGTGGCTAACAACAGCGCGCGGCGGGGGTTTTCGCGCGGGCGGTAGAGGGCGAGATCCACGCCGGCCCGCGCACTCTGCGCGGACAGGCGCCGCTGCGCGCGGAGGCCTTTCATGGCGGGGTCGAGTTGCCGATTCTCGCGGAGTGTGCTCTCGAAAAGGGCCACCCTCCAGCGGTGTTTGTCTTGGAGATGCAGTTTTTCCCGGAGCAGCGGGCGCTTTTCGCAGTTCGATTATTTTTTCGGCGCCTCTACAGGACGCCGAGCCGGTCATTCAGGGTTCGAGAAGCGGAACGAGATTTTCTAAGTATATGTCACGGCAGTGGTTTGCGGGAAGTTGGCGATCGCGCGCCCGCCCATGTCCGAGCAGATTTGGATCAAGGGTTTGCTTGACAGGGTTGCTTGCAGCCGGAGGCGCGCTCGAGACGCGCCGGCAGAGCCGGCCGTCGCCACTGCCAGAGGGTTCACAAGCTTAGGCTGGGCAATGGTGGCACTAATGCTATTGTTTCCGATGCGACCACCGTTTTCAAACGCCGCCGGCGGAAAAGGCATCGAGATCAAAGCAGCAGCGCATGCAACCTAGTTCGGCATGGATCAGGAGGTCGGCGCCGCGGGGAAAAATTGCGCGGAAAAGAGTACAGATGTCAGGGGAAGAGCTTGCACGTCTCCGACACTGCGCTCCGGCGACAAGCCCGTCAAAAACGGGGCCACCAAGATTCGGAGAACGGGGCTTCGTGACTCGGCATCATGCGTGCATCCGGTGGCGGGAAGCTTCGGGACTGTCGTGCTGAGCAAGCTTTGCACAGCGACGCAGGTACCTTTCCTTCCTCGAGGCGCCCCGTTGCCCAGGCTCTGGTCCAGGCCTGGATGCTACCACCAAAAATCGCGCTTATCTCATTGGCTGGACACGTGGCTTCGTTGCCCCTGGCCGCGGGCATCAGCGTCCTTGGATTGGGCCAGAACGTTGCAAGCGCTGCAACACGTATCTACTGGACAACGCAGTGTTGCGGTCGAAGCCCGCTGTCTCCTGCAGCGCTCTTCAAATGGGTGGGCACAGAAGGCGATTTCGGAGTGTCAGGTACCGAGCGATGGGAGCGCCGCGAAGCACGCGGGAGTTCGCCACGGACGCTTCCGTTGGCTCGGACCAGGCACAGCCGCTGCTGGGCGAGTTCGACCCCGCCCTCAGCGCGCTGCTCTTGCGGGGGGCAGCGGGTCTCATTTGATGAAGCGGCTTGGAAGAAGAAACACACAAAACAAACGTAATTATATATATATGAAAAGCGGATGGGTCGAGACACCGCTGCGCGCTCAAGTCGCTGCTCTTCGCCAAGAAGGGCGGGCAATTCTCGGAGTGGGCGGCCGCCATTTCGAAAGGCGGTTCCCGGGCGCAGGAGAGGAAGCTCGAGGTCGAGCTCGCGGGCCCCAACGAGCGCGACGTGTTTGGCGAAGGCCCTGGCGCGACACCCGCTGCGTCGCAGTTGGGCGCGCAGTGAAAGTTGAGGCCCCCAGCTTTCGTTCAATCGGATAAGTGCGGCCCCATGCGATCGCCGAACTTGATGCATGCCTTTGTTTCCGGCTGCGAAAGGTCGCCCCCGACGCGCGGGGTCGCGTCGCAACGCCCGCTAGTGAAGGGTCATTCTTCGCGGGTGGCCAGTCTTAGGGCCAGCTCGGACCGGGATGCTGGGGCAGCGGGTCGCAGGGCAGCCCAACGGTCGCAGGGGCGCCTCGGGTGGCGTGGACACCCACGACGGTGGGCTCAGGAGAGTAGGAAACGCCGTGGCCGTTTTTGTTGGGATTCCTTTGCCCCCTGCGCCCCCGAGGCTTTTTTTGCTTAGGGCCCCGGGCGGGGCCGGGCCGACGGGTCCCGCGGGGGCGGCGTCGGGCTTTCGAGTGGACCTTGGGCTTCGCGCTAGATCCACGATCTATGTACTCGATTTCACGCGCGTCGCCAAGGGGTGGCACGCCGGCGCAGCGCGTGCTCCGTCGGGCTCCCAAACGGATCTGCGACGAATGACAAGCGTCTTGCTTGCCGAGCACGGCGTCACTCATTTTCCCCAGAATTCATGGATCAGGAATAGAATAGAACAGCTGATTCATTTAACAAAACGACGGGGCATGCGGCCAACAGGCCAAAGTCCCCGAGTTAGAAAGGCTTCGCGCGCACAAGTTTGAACTCAAGGTTGGGATGGTCAGGACAAGCCTCTTGCGAGTAGGTTTCGGGGTCCACCTGGCCCTCTCAAGGTTTGCGGGGACTGTCAGGGTCCCCCCTCTTCTCCTGCCCCTTGGCCTCCTTCTCATCAGGCCTTGGCCCTGGTCCGTTTCGCGTCTACCCAGGCCCTGGTCGAATGTGGTAGATAGCGCGCAGTCTTTTTCAGCTCAACCTCGACGTGCACGGAGTCCGAATGGTTAGAAAGTGTTTGCGCTCCTCCAGTGAATGTTGACTCTAGGTCAGTCAGGGTCCCGATCCGACGGGGTTTACATGTCGTTGGTGGCTGGACGGCTGGGCGCATCCTTCACACGCCTAAAGGTGGGCGGCCGCATGTGGCACGCCCCCCGGGGGCCAATTTCGGCACACCCTTCGCGCGCTTCGTAGTTCTATAGGGGGCCCCACCGAAGCCCCCCGAGGGGGGTGCCCCAGCGGCCGCCCCGCCAATTCTGGCACGCCCCTCGCGCGCTCCGCGGTCCCATGAGGAGTTCCACCAAGGCCCCAATGGCATGTGCCACATGCGGCCGCCCCACCCAGATTGGCACACCCATGACATTTTTCGCGGCCTTATAAGAAATTCCACCGAAGGCCCCAGTTCCAGGGCCCGCGCGCCACGCCTCGTGGCACCACAGGGAATTCCATCGAATTTCCCAGTGACAGCGCCCGCGTGGCGGCCCCACCCCATTTCGGCACACCCGCCACACGCTTCGTGGCCCTAATTATATGGGGCTGCGTTTACAGCGCCAGTGGCAGCGTCCGCATGGTCGCCCCGCTCAATTCCGGCAGACCCATCACACGTTTCGTGGCCCCGTCAGGAGATCCTTTACATGCGATGCCCACAACGGCGACACTCGCCATTGCAAATGTGCGGGTCCTCCGCCCGGAGATTGAAGTTTTGCAGCCATGGTGTTGGCAGACATGGTTCATGCCAACCACCCGCATATTCGTTTGCATTTCAATACTGGCCACCCCATCGTTTCGCTCTCATTTCCGCCTTCTCCACCCATCGTTGTCGGTTGCATATCGGGATCGACGTTGGTTTCTTTAGTTCCCCGCCGCCCACCCACCCACACCATTTCAGTGACCTGGGACTCCTCTGTCTACCCGTCTCTCCGCCCTCCTCCTCCGTTCAGTGACCTCCTTGCTTTTGAAGAGGGGTGCGAAGAAAGGGTCCCAGGTATAGGCATGTGTGTGTGTTTTTCCCTCTTTTTCTCTCTTCCTTTATTTCTCTCTCTCTCTCTCTCGTTTAAGCAGGGTGGCCTGGACAGGGGGCGTCGACGAATCAGAGGGAGCAAACTCGCGCCCTCCAAGCTATGTTATCATCACACGCAAACGATAGAATCAGAAGCGCTCTCGCGCATGTCCGCCACCGTGGTCGGCTGTAACGCGCCTTGGAGACCTATGTCATGCACGCGTGTGGTTGTCCGACTTGATACCGAGATTCACGGCAGGTAAAGAGCTCGTCGGTGCACCATTGGATCAGACACCGTCGCCAGCTTTCGCCTACATTATTGACAGCGTTGAGAAGGTGTACAACTCAAGCTATATTCGGCACATGGCAGCTACTCAGTTGCAATTCGAATTGTGTGGCGACCTGATCTCGAGATTTAGATCACCTACAGAGCTATGTGTCATACGATTGGATCGGACATCGTCGAAGGTTTGAGTCTGCAACCTCAAGGGCATCAAGATCGGTCGACTGCTCGAGCTATACTCCGTAAGTGTGGACGGCGGTAGCCAGTTCTGTGACGTTCTAGTCATTGCGCCGAACATGTAACAAGTTCATTGCGCTGCATGTGGACCAGGACGTCGCCATGGAGACTCTGAGCTGCGAAGGTGTCCCTCTAAGACACGATAAGCAACTGCGCAGCACGCGGTCATAAAAGATGATATCGGGGGTATGCCGAAGAAAGATAGGGTGTTGGATACCTATACGACCACCCTTCGGGTGATAAGGAGGTTTGGGGGGGGGAGGAACCAACGTCTCACTCGATCGGTCTCACTATCGATCTCACTATCGATCTCAGTATCGGTCTCGCTCGATCGATCTCCCTCGATCGATCTCACAATCGATCTCACTCGATCTATCTCACAATTGATTTGACTATCGATCTCACAATCGATCTCACAATCGATATCACATTCGGTCTCACTATCGATTTCACTATCGATATCACAACCGCTCTCACAATCAACGTCATCATCATCATCATCAACAACAACATCACCATCAACATCATCATCACCAACGTCATCATAATCGGGACACCGTCCTCATCATCAACACCAACATCATCATCATCACGGTCATCAACATCATCGGGACACCACCATCATCATCATCACCATCATCACAATCATCATCATCAACATCATCAGCATCATCAGCAGCATCGGGACACAGTCATCGTCATCATCATCATCATCAGCAGCATCATCATCGGGACACCATCATGATCACCATCGTTAGCATCATCATCATCATCATCATCATCATCAACGGGACACCATCAGCATCATCTCATCCTCATCATCGACATCATCATCATCATCATCAGCAGCATCATCAACACCATCATCAGCATCATCATCATCGTCGTCATCATCGGGGCACCATCATCATCATCATTAACAACATCAGCATCACCATCATTGGTACCATCATCATCACCATCGGGACGCCATCATCATCAACATCATCACAATCACCATCATACTAATCATCATCATCGGGACGCAATAATCATCATCAACCTCATCATCATCAACATCATCATCATCGGGACACAATCATAATCAGCATCATCAACATCAACATCATCATACTCATCACCATCGGGACACCATCATCGTCATCATCATGGTCATCAACATAATCATCATGCTCATCATCATCCTCATCATCGGGACACCATCAGCATCATCATCATCATCATCGTCATCGTCATCATCGACATCATCATCATCATCATCATCATCATCATCATCATCATCATCGGGACACCATCATCATCATATTACCATCATCATCATCATCATCATCGTCCTCATCATCATCATCATCAGCAGCAGCATCACCATCATCATCATCGACGTCATCATCATTATCAGCAGCAGCATCATCATCAGCATCACCATCATCATCATCATCATCATCATCATCATCATCATCGTCATCATCATCATCATCATCATCATCACCATCACCATCATCATCATCATCATCATCATCATCATCATCATCATCATCATCATCATCATCATCATCATCATCATCGCGGGACACCGCGGGACACTGGCGGGACACCGCGGGGCACCGCGGGACACCGCGGGACTTTCGCGGGACACCGGCGGGACACCGCGGGCCACCGGCCGCCCGGAAGGGAATCATTTGGTCCGGCCGCGCCTCAGCCACCCGGGACTTTCGCGGGACACCGGCAGGACACCGCGGGCCACCGGAGTCATTTGGTCCGGCCGCGCCACAGCCACAGGAGACTTTCTCTCGCCCGCCCACGCAGTTTCGCCTCGCCCGCACGCACGGCACGCACGAACACGAAACCGAAATCGATTTCCCGGTAGGGGGGCTCTCCGTTCCACTTCGATCTCACCCCCTCACCTCCGATTTACGGTGGTCTCTGGTGGCAATTGTGGCGGGTTTAGGGCAATATTAAATGTTATTTTGGCCGTTTTGTTAGTTTGATAAGTCGTGTTGGAGATGTCTTGGGCAGTCTTGAGAACGAGAGAAAACACCGCGACTTACCAGGAGCTGTACATGATCAAGCATGGTCATCCATGGTCGGAACATGTTTGCGATCATGTCCATTCCGATGCATACCCGGCTTATTTTTCGCAGTTACGTTTCGTTCTGGATTGCGCCTCCCCCGCCGTTTTCCGTGCTCTTTTCTGGTGTGCATTCTGAGCAGGGGACCCACAGGGAAACAGACGAGCAGGAGGAGGAGGGGGCGATGATGAGAAAGGATAAGTAGGAGATGGGAGAGGATAACCTTGGTTTGTCTATGTCCATATTCCTGTAATCATGCATGCTGATATGTCAGTGTACGCATACGTAGTGAACAATGTATGCATGCATGCACATATACATATATATGTGTATATGTATATATGTATACACATATATGTGTCTATATGTGTACGAACGTACACATGAATTTATATATGTATATATGTATATATGGTAATATGTCCATCCCGCCACCCTGCCTGGGTTGTGATTCTGAATTCTCAGGGATGTTTTTTTAGGTCTCTTCGGGGGGCGCTGTCGGGGGTCTGTTGGGTGCCTCCTGGTGGCACTTACGGGGCCTCTTTGGAGCGCCGTCGGAGGCCTCTTTGGGTCCCGGGGCCCCCCGGGGCCGGGGGCTCGACATGTCCGTTGGGCGCCCTTTGGGCCGTCTTGGGACGCCCTTGGGGGACTTTGGGGACGGTCGTGAGGCGATCTCGGATGCTTGGGCCATCTTGGAGCGTCGGAAACCCAACTAGGCGAGTCAGGGAACACCAGTGATGTTTGCCTCTGGGGGGCCTCTTGGGAGGCCTCCTGGTGCGTTTTGGAGGCTTTTTGGGCCGTCTTGAGGCCATCTTGGCGTCTTGGGGCGATCTGTGGGTGTCTCGGGGCCCCCTTGGGCCGTCTTGCGGGCCTCTTGGGGCCCTCTTGGCCCGTCTCGGGGTTCTCTTGGGGCACCGAAGGAGTTACGCGAGAAGGATCGGGGGAGCCCATGGGAGCGGCGGGAACCCCCAAACGATGTAGGAAGTCGGAGGCCCGGCCCCTCAGAAACCCCTCGGGAGAGAGGGTTGAGGCTCAGGGGATGAAGCAAAGGACCTGAGGGCCCGCCCGCTCCGTGGCCAGAGGCACGGTGGCCCATATAGATAGACATTACAGTAGGTTCGTGTCGTGTCGACCAGCGGCGACCCCGACGCCGGCGTTCAACCTTGAACGCCGGCGGAGGCCCAGAATCGGTCGATGTTGAACGATCGGACGTTACGGAAATGGCCGATCGTTCAAGGTTGAACGATCCAGCGCGGTGTCAGAAACCAACGCCGGGGTCGACACGACGCGAACCTGCCGTAGATAGACATGTACATTGGTTTGATAGCTCGGTCTGAATTCATGATGATAAGCGGCATGTCGAACTTGAGTCGCCCCTGGCTACCTCGCTACGTAAACAAAGGGGTATATGTCTATATGTGTGTATGTATACCCGCAGGTCATCGTGAGTCAGCATGTTTCGGTTCGTCTCAGTACTCATCCCTCCTGCTCGCCATCCCCAGATGTCCATAGACTTCACTGTTTCCTCGTCATTCCTCTACGCTTCTCCCACCATGCCGCGCGGGCTCAGCAGGTCATCCGCAAGGCTTTTCCGCAGCAGTCGCCCGCCTTCGCCCACGAGCTGGTTTCCAATACGACCATCCTGGCGGAGATCAAGCAATATTCCAGGACTCCTATTCATCCACATCATTGTCGTTATCCACCTCGCCCACCACCTCATATGTAAGAAGGCATTAGGGGGGGAATCTGGGGGGAGGCAGGAGGGAAGCGATGGAGAAGGCGATGAGGACGAGGAGAAAGGGGGCGAAGAGAGTGCGGCGTGAGAGCGGAAAGAGGAACAGCAGACTGGGCAGACGAGGGGGGGTGCGGGGACAGTAAGGGGGATGATGGGAGTGCGGCGCGATGGACGAATCGCGAGACGAACAACCGCGGCCCTCGCGTCTTGCAGCGAAAACACAACTGATATTGTTATAAGTTGTTGGCCTCTTGAGGCTGGAGGCCCTCCCCAGGTCTGGGGATTGGTGAAACACGTGCCGGATAAACAATAAACTTTTTTTCGAAAGGGGCCGAGATTCTTAGGGGTCCAAGTGGTGAACGAAATTTCGACGTGGGAGGTCTGGAAGTCTGAGATCGTGATGCAGTGCGCAGTAGCGATGACCGCATTGGTCGCTTCCTTGCGAGGATGCGTACACCGGGGGCGCGCATCAAGAAACCATATCCCTTTCGTCATCGTATCCTGGGTTGATTCGCTCCGCGCGCTGCGCGGTGACTTCCCACAGCCGTTGAATTTAAGAAGCTGCTGCGTTCAGGGTGCTCCAGGTTTCCCCCAACGTGCACCTCGGCCACGGGTTTTCAGGGTTGGGTTTCTTGCGAGGGTTTCTTGGGGCCACGCCTGCATTGTACGCCCCGAATCGTAGCTGGCCAGTGGGCAGGAAAAGTATTTTGCTTTCAGACGGCAGCAAAGGTTAACAATCGTTGCCGATCCACGCGACAGTCGTCAGAGAGAGTGGGCAGGCTCGGATCTTGCCTTTGCCAAGTTTCCTAGTTGGTCGAGCCTTCAGTCAAACTCATTGGGCATGGCATGGTTGTCCCCCGTTGCACTTTTCCGTCAATCTGAAGCCAGATGCATGACTCTTGTTTTCTCCGTCATGTTCAAAAGTCCTTGGTAACGGTATTTTGCCGGCTCCCCCCACCCTCCCTGACCTTGCGCCCCCCGCCGATTTTCTCCCCCTGCCCCTCCTCGTTCCCCCTTCAGCCCGGCCCCCTCCCCGTCCACATCCCCTCGCGCCCCCACTGCTGCCCTCCGTCTGTCTGCCGTCCCGCCCCTGCTGCTCCGCCGGAGGAGCTTCTGAGGTGGGCCGGACCTCGCGCCGGCCGGCGCCCGCGGCGCGACCCAGCGTTCGCCAGGGCCGAGGCCGACAATCGGGAGGGGGGAGAGGCAGTTGGTGGGAGGCCAGAGGCCGGCGACGCGCCGAGGGGAGGGGCGCGAGGGGGCAGGCTCTCGCAGGAGGCGGCGGGGCGTCTCAGGAGCCCTCTGCGGCGTCTGAGGAGCCCTGTGCGGCTTCGGAGGCGGCCTATAGAAGCTGCTCAGAAGGCCGATGCTTTCTGAGCCTTCTGAGAAGGCTCGCCCCCCTATGCCTTCCCCCGGTTTGGCGCGCCGCCGAGGAGGGAGGGAGTCAAGGAGATGCGATGGAGGGGGCACGAGGGTTGCTTGCATCACATTCGACACCCCACCCCTTCCAGCTCTCCCTTCGTATCTGCGGTGTCCTTGGCCGTCTGCTGCTTGGCCGCCGTATTCCCGGGGAGTCATTTTGCAGGCATCCTTGGCGGTAGTAGTGGGCTTGACGGAAACCTGTACAAGTGAAACATTTTTTTCAAGTACACTATGTTACCTCCTTCGGGCCCTACTCAGAGGCCTCTTGACGTATTCTCGGGGAGTTGTTGGCACTTCCCGGTTTGTCTTGAGGCCGTATGCCATCTTAAGCCGTATTCGCTCCATCTTGGGCCATTTTGGAAGCCATCTGGGGCATCTTCGGCGCACTGGAATCTGCTTCGGAGGTGTCGGAACGCCCAGGAACCCTCGAGAGGGCGGAGTGGATGCAGCAGTATGTGACTGGGATGGCAGGAGGCCGTATAAAATTTACAGGCCGTGCCAGAGAGCACGTGGCAGTCTACCATGTGTCAGCGTGCCAGGGGCACTGTGGCGGAATCAAAACGAGGACCCAACACAGGAGGGGTGGCATTCGCACATACACACACATATGTATATATATATATACATATACATGTACAGTTCACATTTACATTCTTACGTACATGCATGTGTATCGCTTTTCGCTTCCGATGGGTTTCATGGAGCTTCAAGATGCCTTCCGGATGACCCACGCGAGCCCAGACATGCGCTAAAGTGCGCCCCAAGAGCGCGTCAATAGAGCCCCAAGAGGGCGTTAGTCTGCCTCCAGCGGGTGGAGCGTAATCGCCCCCCCTCCCTCCCACCTGATCCATGGCCTCCAAGATGACCCCAAAAAGGCCGCTACAAGCTCCAAGAGGGCCCCAGGAGGGCCACAGGAGGGCCCCAAGAGGGCCCACATGGCTTGCAAACTGCCTTCAAGAGGGCCCCATGGCCCAATGATGCTTTCGAAAGGATCCCAGAGCGTGACTGCATGCTGCTACTCATCCCTGGTCAGTGGAGCTCGCCTGGCGATCGATTTGGGATGGGCTGGTGGGATGCGCGAAGCGTCATTAACTGGCCACCCAAACATGGCTGAGCTTCGTTCGGACACGCGTCCAACCAAACGAAAACGTCACATGGACCAACTTACCATGATCGATTTTATGCACTAGAGCACGGCCGGGGAGGCGACGCAGCCAGCCGCGCACGTGCGATGAAACCATCGTTTTCAAACGCGCGGTGCACAGCCACCCCATCAGAGGATCTTTCCATTGAGATCCCGCGGGGCGTGCTTGATGGGCCGCCCGATCTCGCCAGGCCAAAGCCTCCCGCCCGCGGGATAGGCCCGGGCGGGTCGTTCGGGCGTCTTGTGGGTTCGCTCCTTGGGCGCCGGCGGCGGGCGCTTGGCGCCACCCGCTCGCTCTGGCGTCTCCGGCGCCTGCTTGGGCGGCGGCGTGGGCGGCTCTGGGGCGCGGGGATCTTCGGGCCCCCCAGCTCTCGGCGACGCCCGCGGCCCCGTCCCATGCAAGCTTCTCTCCCCCCTCTTCCCCCCCCTCCCCCCCTGCCCCTGTCCCCTCTGGCCCGCCCCCCCTGCCCCCCCGCCCCGCCTCCGTTGCCAAATTGGTTCGCTGTCGCCATTCTGGCTCGCGGCCCCCTTTCTGGGCGCGGGTGCCCCCTGCTCCGCGCGCTCTCGCATCCTCTGGGCGGCGGTCGGGCCTGCGCCGTTAATCTGGGCGCCGCGCAGGGGCGCCCCGCGGAGCGATGTCCGCGCCCTTGCGTTCGCGCGCCACTTCGAGCGCGGCACGACCGCGACTCGCGCGTCGATCCGAACGCGCCCGCGCTTGCGCGGGGCGTCGTCGCCGAAGGCGCGCCCCGTCTTGAGCGCGAGGCCCGCGGCGTCGGCGCCCGTGGCGGCGCGCTGCCGCCCCCGCGCGGCCGGCGCTCCGCCGCGCAAGGCAAGCTGGCGCGCCGCGCCACCGCTGTCGCATTCGCGCTGCGCCGCAGCGCGCGGGCGGCGCCCCTCTGGCGGCCGCCGCCCGCAATCGTCGCGGGCGATGCGTCGAGCGGCGCGCCGCGGCGCGCAACGCGCGAATGGGGTTGAAGTAAACGCGCGAATGCGCGGCGACCAGACGTCCGCGCGAGCAGTGGCCGCGCCAGGCCCGGTTTCTGCGCGAGACGCAGCCGCGCCAGAGTGCGCGAACCTTAGGGTTGGAGGCATCGTTGAATCCAGTACTCGAGGATTGTGCCGCGGCGAGATTTGGCCCGCCGCGCCCCAAACGCCTTGCTCGGCGCCGTTGTGTCGCAGTGGATATCCTGCAGGTTGCCCAATTTCTCGGTGGTCGTGGCCTCCTGGCATGGGCTGCTGAAACTCCCCCGTGGCGGCCGCGGCGCTGTCTGCTGGTCGTCCGTCGTTGGCGTTTGTCCGCTGGCCTGGCTGCGTGCGGTCCCTTACTTACCGATGGCATCTTGCGCCGGCGAGTGGTCTGCGATGGTCTTGCGCGCGCCAGTTTGATTGCCGCTGGTGCTTTTGCGCTGGAATCCGATGGGTCGCCGGGGCGGGCGGCGGTGGTCCTTGCCGCGGGGCTGGCAGGGCTGGCCTCTGGATGTCAATGTTGGTCGGGTCGCGGGGTGGTTCGCGCATCGGGGCGGTGGCGGTCGGCGAACGGAGCGCGAGTTTGTGCGGGGCGGTTGCGGTCGGCTGCCTGCCGCGATGTTGTCCGCTGCTGCGTAGATCGCGGCGATGATGGCTGTCGCCCGCTGGGATCGCCGCCTCAATCTTGTCGGCTGCGGTCGTCTGATCTCCTGAATGATCTGCTGGCGCCGCGTTGATGCCGAGGCCCCCCTGGGAATGGGAAGGGAACGTCGGGCGAGCCACCTTGTCAATGGCCTCGCCCGAGCATGTTGGGCCCTGATTTCGCCGACGCCCGGTGGGCGCGCATGGTGATCGGCCGTTGCCCAGCGTGCCGAACGTTGCCGGTGTCCGCGTGGTGCATGGGCGCTCGCGCAAGGGGCCATGGTGCGCAATCCAAGGGATTGCCGCGCGACCAGTTCAACTCAGCCCAGGGGCGTGGCGCACGCCAGCGCGATATCGCGATATGAGCGCGCTGGAAAAGATTCGCGCGCGATGCTCGGTGATTTGAGCCAGCGTTTTCCACGCGATTGTATTGTTCTCTATTGTTGTTAGCATTTGCGTTCGGGCGAATGTGCACTTCTGTTCGTCGCCGAAGCCACTCTTGTACTTCCATTGTTCGCCGAAACACACACACACACGCACACACACATTGGCACTTCGGGTGTCCTTTGAATTCGCACTTCCGTATACGGCCGCATCGGATGGCACGCTTTTTTCCGCGCTTTCACATTTGTATTTCGTGAGTTCGTTGAAGTCGTATTTCTTTCATACTGATTTGAAACGTCGAATAAATCACGGTTTTAGAAGTATGCCTGGTCTTGGGCGTCATAACCCTAGAGCACGCATAGCTGTCGGCGTCGCCGCGGGGCGGTGTCCATTTGAAACATAGGCCGCCTTCCCGGCAGCTGCCGCTGCTGGTTTTGGACAGCACTTGCTGTGCAGCATCGCCATTTTTCCGTACCCACGTTGGGCGCACGAATGTATTAAGTACCGTTTACCCTATCCATATCCATATCCCCATCCCCAACACGATACCCACCACCCCACCATCCCAGTTGGGGATATGTTTTTCAAGCCCCTGAGGAAGCAGCTCGTGCCCCCTTCTAGGGAAGTCAATCGGCCAGTGGGGCCCAGGCCACGCCAGTGGGGGCAGGGATCGGTTCAACGATATTCAACTGTGGGCGTGCGACTGTATTCTTGCGGCGGTGTTGTGCAGCACGCTGGCGTCGGGTGCGGCGGAAGAGACCCATGCTTCAGACGATCTGATATCTTCAATTGCGGCGTGGTTCTTTCGTTTCGGTTCCTGGCAGGCTGCTCTCTGGCCCTGAGGCAGGCAAAGTTGATTGTGGGGATAGTCGGCCTCGCGCGGGGGAGGGCGGGGGGAGGGGGGAGGGCTTTGTAGAAACACTTTTGTTTCTTAGAAAGCTCGAGCCTTATCTGCATTTGCAGGGCCAGCGCTTTTTAACAAAGCAGCCCCCTTAATTTTCCCATTCCCTCCACACTCTTGCGGGCGCAGACTGAACAAATCACATCTGGAACCACAGCCGGCTAGCCGCAAACGGCTCCAAGGGGTTTTCCGACCATTTGTTGTAAGAGACAGCAGGAGGCCGGCCCACCAGCTATTGTGAGTCGGTCGCAGTGAAGCAGCCAGGGGCGCGGAACGCAACGAGGGCCGCGATCGCGGTCGCAGTCGAAGCGGGCTGCGCTTGCGCCATCGCAGTGGCCGCAGCCTGGGCAAGACGACTGCGGGAAAGGGGCTGGCAAGGCTGCCGGCAAAATTTTTCGGTAAGCGCGGGCAAGAACGTTGGCAAGACCAGGAAGTGGGCGAAGTCCGAGAACTTCGATCATGGCAAGGGCAAAGACAAGTGCAGGCCCCTGTCTTGAAGTTTTCCACGGATGCCGCGAAGGATGAACAGCGCAGGCTCTGCTTCCAGCACGGCCTCTGGGACAGCAGCCCATGTTGCTGGCCTGATGGTAGCCGCAGGGACGACGCGTCCGAAGAGAGTAGCGGGGTTGGGCCGCCCGACGACGCAGACATGAAGGCGAGC